TATATGTACACAAATCTGTAATAAGTGAATATATCATCTGCTAAAGGACCGTCTCTGGCGTTGAGGGTGTGGTATTTTCTTAGCGGATCGGGCAACACTGTCTAGGCAGTGGACTGAATAATCTTGCACTGAAGAAGCAGTTCTATATATTACATAATTAATTCTGTTCAATTCTTTTTAGTTGAATTAGCAATTGAATTTTAATTAAAAATTCCACAGTTTGTCAAATATGAAATGGATCATAACATTGAAGATGAAAATGCATTGTGCTTTTATCATGAACTTGGAGGATGATGCAAGAAAATGTGCAGTTTGCAAAGTGTTTGAAGTTTGTAAATAATTCTTTTCTTTAAAAATAAAGCAATTTTGTATTAAATGTAATTGTGTATACATGTATTTTCTGAAAGCTTTATGAATCAATCACAGGAATTAAAGTCCTACCTGAAGAGGAAAAAAAGAAGAGAGAGGGGCAAAATATCCACAATAATGCAGTTGAATGAGAGTTGAATGAGAGAGAAAGAGAGAGAAATAAGAAGTAACATTCTAAAGATAAAATGATAATGAAAGGAAGAGACTGGATACTGAAAGGAAGAGACTGGATATCTTAAAGACGCATAGTAGTGGTCTCATGGGGGATTCAACACCATATAGGTATTTATCTAATAAGGGCGATATTGATCACCAAGTTCAGCCTTATGACCAACAGGCCTTATGTAATGCCTTGCATTTGCCACCCATTCTCCCCCATATTATAGTAAAGTCAGTTTCTTACTTTTCCCTTATGTAATGCTCTGCGTTTTCCACCAATCGCACCAATGACCGGGGTAAAAGTATATTTGTAAAGCGCTTATAGAAATTTTTATTAAGCTCTATATAAAAACTAAATATTATTATTATTATTATTATTTTTCTTTTCCCTCAACCAAAGACTCGCGGAGAACCCAAAGCAGAGCTGGGTTTTTTTGTTGATGGTGCAATGTATTTGAGACTTTTACACCGATCAATGGTACCGGTATTTCCACCAAATCTGGTGTCAGCGATTTTTATGACCTACTGCACATGGAAACTGACTACCTAGTATATTTGTAAAGCGCTTAGAGCCTACATTTGTATTAAGCACTATATAAAAATTAAATATTATTATTATTATTATTATTACCTATCCCTTGAACAGAATCAAGATAAAGACAGAAAGAGGAAGGGGATGACTGGATGCACAGCTTCAGATATTAAGTTAACTGACTGGAATGAAATAATGATACATGTATAATTATGTACTTATAAAGCAAATAGATGTGGATTTTTTTCCCCTGTATCTACATGTACATGTTATCTTTTTATATTACGTAGCACACATAAAATTGCCAATTTTAAACCATGACCTTGATAAATATTACCAAGTCCCTCAGATAGGACATAAAGCTGTAGATTCTCTGGTAGCTTCTTTATAATCATATTAATAATAATGCGAACCAAGTCTAATGGAAAATAATCTTAATTTTAAACACTGACCAAGAATGTTGAATTTGTGAGACATTGTAGAGCAAGAGCAATGAGCGCCCATCAGAGGCGGATACCGATGCTATACATGAAGCCATGATCATAATCATCTATAAGCATATACAGAGTACATGTACTTTGCTTTCATAGCAGGTATTAAACTAGATGGAATTTTGACTGCGCGCAGTCGAAAATGATGCCTCCGCCATAGAGCAATTTAAACAAGTTTGGAGTTTAAATCTCCAGTGGTTCTTGAGATATCATGATAACAATATCAATGTATAGAATTTCATAAGTTGACCTCTGTGACCCTTGACCTTTGACCTACGTGCTCCAAAATCTAATCAGATTGTCTTCCTATGGTGATACACACTATCATTAAGTTTGAAGTTTAAATCTCCAGTGGTTCTTGGGATATTATGATATGGTGATACATACTATCATTAAGTTTGAAGTGAAAATTCTCCAGTGGTTCTTGAGATATCGCGATAACAATCTCAATGTATGGAATTTCATAAGTTGACCTCTGTGACCCTTGACCTTTGACCTACGTGCTCCAAAATCTAATCAGATTGTCTTCCTATGGTGACACACTATCATTAAGTTTGAAGTTTAAATCTCCAGTGGTTCTTGAGATATTATGATAACAATCTCAATGTATGGAATTTCATAAGTTGACCTCTGTGACCCTTGACCTTTGACCTACGTGCTCCACAATCTAATCAGATCGTCTTCCTATGGTGATACATACTATCCTTAAGTTTGAAGTTTTTACATCTCCAGTGGTTCTTGAGATATCATGATAACAATCTCAATGTATGGAATTTCATAAGTTGACCTCTATGACCCTTGACCTTTGACCTACGTGCTCCAAAATGTAATCAGATTGTTTTCCTATAGTGATACACACTATCACTAAGTTTGAAGTTTAAATCTCCAGTGGTTTTGAGATATCATGATAACAATCTCAATGTATGGAATTTCATAAGTTGACCTCTGTGACCCTTGAACTTTGACATACGTGCTCCAAAATCTAATCAGATCGTCTTCCTATGGTGATACATACTATCCTTAAGTTTGAAGTTTAAATCTCAAATGGTTCTTGAGATATCGCGCTAACAAACTCAATACAAGGAATTTCATAAGTTGACCTCTGTGACCTGTGACCTTTGACCTACGTACTCCAAAATCTAATCAGATCGTCTTCCTATGGTGATAAATACTATTCCCGAGTCTTAAGTTTAAATCTTAAATGGTTCTTGAGATATTGTGATAACGGTCAAACGGGACGGACGTACGGATGTACGGACGGACGTACGGACGGACGTACGGACGTACGGACGTACGGACGTACGGACGGACAACCCGAAAACATGATGCCTCCGGCACCACCTTCGGTGGCGGAGGCATAAAAATATCATTCATCATCAAACATAATGACTAATAATCTTCTACAAAGCAAAAACTGAATCAAACAAATCACCTCACCTCTACACATATAGGATATTGTGCGTATTACATGTATACAACCCTGGCCATTTATTAATGTTTCCTCATAAAAAGAAAATGTTGAGTTCTGAGAAAGGTCGTTTTTTTTTTAAATCATGAGCTTTTTCATTCTTTTATGTTAGTGTGGAAGAGTATCATTGAACAAAATTCCACTGAAAATGATGGCTCTTCAAATGATCTCATATTTAAAATACATGTATGACGAGTAACGGCTAAAGCTTGTGGGCCACAACTGTCATGCCACACGTTTGTGTAGTCCCATGTACACATTTCTGTGTACAGTGCATGTGGCTATTAGCAAGACTGAGCCAATTTCTTATCATTTTGGTAATTTCAAAACCTCACAGTATACATTGATACTTAAGTGCTACATGATCAACTTTTCCAGTCCCTTTCATATCGCTTCTTTAACACTGCAATTGCATGGCCAGGGGCGTTTTTCACAAAGATTCTCAGTGGAACTTAATTCTAAGTTGGACTTAAATATTATGGAGAGCCATCTGTAGCATTATAATGAAATATATTCAAAAGCAAAAATCCAAGTATTTTAGACTTTTCATAAATTCCACATCAAGAACATGAAACCTCCCATGATCATGGAAAATATGAATGATTCAAATCAACATTTTATGCCTTTTAAAATAACATATACAAAATATTTTCAAGGATGCTAACGGCTTTTCATAATGGTTAAGTCCAACTTAGAGATAAGTTCAACTTAGGATCTTTGTGAAACACCCCCCAGAACTCAACTTCATCTTTATAACAGAATGGAATGGAATAGCTGGCAGTATTTCTAGCTATTTTGCATGTATACATTAAAACTTTAGACACAGATTTGTTTCAGAAAGTACATGTCCCAAGTATACAATAATAAAAAAGCAAAATTATTATGAGGTTGTGTAACAAAACCTCAATATGTATTGCACAAATATAACAAAAGTCATACAAAAAAACAAAGTACTGCCAATCAAATCAAATTTTTAAAAACAAATTGCATAGGGGAAATAAAATGTTCAGGCTTGCATTTCATGCATCAGTATTACTCATGTCATGAACTTGGAAACATAAATCAATACAAAAAAATTGAAACAATTACATAAATATACTAATAAAAGCCACCCACCATCAAAAGTATATCAGTCGTGGAAATATTTTGGAATTAGGTAATTTAGAATGAATACACAAAGGAATTTCCCAAGTAAGGCTGGTTCAGATGACGCAGTAAACCATCGCAAAAACAGCAGCTGCTGGTTTTTTAATGTATAAATGAATGGCAACTGCGCCCGAACAGAGTTGGTCCTAAGACAGAATCTTGTGGTACACCACATTTGATATATACTTTATGAATTCTTAACTTCAACCATAAAGCAAGGACTACCTAATCCTAGCCCAGGGCTCCACACTAAGTTGTTTGGAAGCAGGTTTGGATTAAGCTTTTTAGAGTCCTTAGTGTACTCAATGAGCTCTGTGTTATAAAATAAAGAAATATGAAACTTATTCCATTTTACGTCATCATTTAACACGTTTTGGCTGCGTCATATCTGAACGAGTCTCAACTCAAGTCTTCCCTTTTGGAATAATACGAACACAAGATAAAAAACCTTAAAGGGATCGTTTAACAATGTTAAATCTGAGATACACGGCCCTACGTGTTATCAGTGTTTGTGATATGGTGTAATATAGAAGCCCTAAAAAAATTGCGCTTCAAAATGATCAAGAAGTGCCTCAAAAAAGTAAAAATCTTTGAGTGACCGGTTTTACCATACTCGTTTTCCCCAATAGACTGTAGTGTTATGAAAACCGTCAGGCGAACGGTTTTCAAAATTTGTAATTCCAATCATAAATATCTTGATAATCAGACAGGCGATCGGCTTGTAAAATTCATGGGGTTCCTGACTGACCTAAAGGTTTATAATTATCATTGCATCATGAGCTAAATCCAGAATTTTATTTCAGAATCTGAGACAAAGTTACCGGATCCCTTTAATCGAGAATGTATGACAGAGGGATGTATTCATCTATATTTCATCATGCACTTTCAGCGCAGTAGAGTACATGTATATATAGTAACTGCACTATACAAATTGATCTAATAATTATTATTATTCCTCTTTACCTCTACTCACACATTTTCATGAACATTCCATAATAATTTGTTGTTAAAGGGTACTGCACATTATCACATGATCACTGTGTTGCATACAATCAGTGTCACACACAAACAAGTTAATTTGGCAAGTGTAGTTCATCCTTTGACAGAGAAAAATGACAATATAAGTCACATTCAAAATTTTCAAAACACGGATCATTCATTGTGCTCCTTTATAACATACAATTTGGGCTTGCGTACAGTGTACATGTACATGAAAGGTGATTTTCTCCTTTGGCACTATCACTGGTACAAAACTTCACAAATTCATTTAAGAGTTGATGATAGAAAACGATCAACAAGTTATGTTTTATGATTATAAAGGGGACATAATTTACAAGTATGTTTTATAAAGTATCTTTCAAGACTCAATTCAATCCAAATCCAGAATGCAATTTTGGCTCCTTTTCTGCCACATTCCAAAATGACCATTGACATGTGCTTTTCTTTCACGACATGATTGAATGGAAAGTGGTTTACTACACATCACACACACCCACCCACCCACACACACATACTGGAGGGAAACTTCTATCACAATTTTTTCATATAAACAGTGTTATAGTATAATATAGTTTTACAACACATTTTAACATTCCATCTGGTCATGTAACACACAAAAGGGATACATTACATTTATATTTCATAATATAATATGGACATTTAAAGATAACCAAACTTGGGGGTAAACAAAATTTCACAGTAACTTATATTGTTTAACGAGAGCAAGAGAAGGGCTATCTCTGAGTAAATAGATACGAGTCAAATCCTTTTCGGCTCTAACCAGGGGGGTGTTTCACAAAACTTGTCATCAGTGACAAATGACGATTTGTGTTATAAGCTACTGAAATCCTTGCTTCTGATTGGTAATCAGCAGATTTGTCACTGATTTTTGTTATTTGTCATTGAAAAAAGGCTTTGTGAAACGCCCCCTAGACTGTATATTCTGCACTGTGAGTGAACCATCCAACACGATTTCAGTACCGACAATTAGATTATATGAACAAATGTTTGTTTTTTAAGTACATCAATGCCATAATCATGTCACACTACTTAATTCTCCACAAGGACAACTACATACATGTACATGCACATGTATTTACGATTCTTTCCCAATCACATCGATACCGTTTGCCTAAATATGTCTGGGCCCCGATTTACAAAGAGTTGATATCAATCACAACATATTTGCGATTGATATCAATTGCAACTATGGACAAAAGAGATACGAGACTGCAAACTTGCGATTGATTGGAGGACTTGCGATTGATTTGGATCAATCGCAACTCTTTGTAAGATGGTGCCCTGGTCTGCTTGCCTTGTGGAGGCTAGTATACCGCCGAGTGTAATTTGTTGATCAGCCTATTTGGTTTGGTTGAACTTGCTCCAGAAATTTGGAAAAGTGGCTTTGAAGCATCCCAAATAGTATGGGCAGTGATTATCTTTGAATAAATGAATGTACATGTACCAATAAATTAAGACTGACATACATTGAGTTATATATCATCATGATATAAGGTTGGCAGAAACCACTCTGTGCTAGTACAACATATCAAACAATTTCGCAAATAAAGAATGAATATTTGACAGAATATTTAAGGATCTAGATTCAGGATAGAGTGATAGACAAACATGATTGTCAGAAGAATAATGTAGGTATATTGGAACATTTATGAGTAAATAATACCTAATCGCTACACACAAATGACTCGTGTTCCAGTTACAATGATACAATTCGTCCATTGACTTGAGAGTAAGAAAGGTGTTAAGCCTGTGTTAAATGAGAAGAGGTAACGACCTTCTGGCTCTTCGCATACGATTTGTAGCTTTGTGTATGAACTGGGTCACATAGGTCAGGGGTTGAATATAATATCATAGATCATAACAATTGCACAATATTCAGTGGGCCAGGTATGGTGACATTGAAATAGAATGGAGGAGCGTATAAAGGGGGCATATCAAATAAATGTAGGAATCATTGAGGGTTAGGTACATAAGAGGAGGGCTCGGTTACTTCATACAATCAATCCTCCTTCGTAATCGTGTTACGGATGATCAAATCATCCCACCCATAGCCTACTGAGAGATATAGTTGTGACACACGCAAGGGTACATCCTCGAAGGTCAATACATGGAGCTCCAAATAGCTCTCTCCCACATACAATCTCAATGGGAGGGAACCATTTCGATGCTCCACGAGTTTGACTATAACGAACAAGAGCGACTTCCAGTGGTATCCCTGTAACTATTCATATTTTTTACTAGCTATAATATCATCCCTACACCGCCCTCTTCAACCCTGCGCGTCTAAAAGCTGCAGCAACTCGTCGGCCCGCGTGCAGTCCCAGCCGACGAACCGCAACGGCCCCTTCACGACCTCCACGTACCTCTGCAACATGCGCTTCCCGACGCTCCTTCCGTCAAACAGGAGAGTCCCCTCGCAGATGTGAATGGAGTGTCGATTGCCGGGGTGTCTCGCCTGCCAAACGTCATCCCCGGCTATATCCAAGTTGGATGCGGACTTTGTGATGGAGTTAATGTCCTCTTGAGACGTGCGGTTGTGTCCGCCCGCCATGACGGAGAGACTGGCGCCCTCATTCTGTTTCTTCTGCTTGAGGAGCGTGTGATGCCAGTAGCACATCTCGCCGGCATACATTAAAGCAAGGACATGTGTATCGGAGAAGAGCCCTGCGCAAAGAGAGTAATTAACGTGATTTGTCAAAATCAACAACATATATATACTTTGTATGTACATGTAGAAAGCAATCAACAAAGATGACTACAGATTTAGTTATCACACAGTAGTAAGTTTGTAATCCATAATTTATACAGATACATGTATGACAGAAAACAGAAATGAAACATTTATTGTGAAATTCAATTCAGTTCTGTTCAGTTCAATTCAATTCAATGTGGTTTATTGAAAATACAGATTAGAAGTCCAAGGACTAATTGCACAATGCTTACAATGTAAAAATGGTCGAACTAGGATCATCAATTGAAACAAAAATAGAAGTAAAAGATAACTTTACTATCTGTCTGAAAATTAGTTGATGTATCATTATAATGAAGTATAAAAGTCAATTTCTTTTTCATTGATTATTCCAAGATACAGGTACAGTGTACATGATTGTGTGTGAATCAAAGTGCAATGTTGGATTTAAAAGAAATATATTTCAGTAATGTTGTTCCCTACCATTCCTAATATGTGACTGCAGCATTCATAACCAATGCACTACTTTCTTGTCATACTGTATCCAATGAGATCACTGACTTTATGAACCGTGTTTCCAAAATAGGCCTGTCTTCATCAGCTTGAGTTTGCCAAATAACCCGCTATTATCAACCCGAAGCTCGAAATTGGGTTCCCCAGACCGATACGCTCATCACAAGCTACCGGTAGCCAGACGGGCGCAAATTAGCCTGATATTTCCCAAACAGCGGGATATTTCGGAAAAAAGACCAAGAATTTTTCTGGATCTTTTCTCGACCAAATATCCCACTAATTGCAACTGCGGGCTGATGAGGACGCAAACTAGCTGGATAATTTGCGATCGGGATAGTTAAAATAGCGGGTTATTTGGCAAACTCAAGCTGATGAAGCCGGGCCTATTGACAAGAGAAAAAGCGTTTATCTCTTACCTTGTTTGATCAGCGATAGAGTATCTTCAGTCAGCACCTGTGATTCTATCTGTGCCTTGTTAGTTGGTAGTCTGACGGCTAGCATGGATTCAAGATGCCTCACTCCTTCCTCCAAACACTGAAAAATATGAAGAAGTCAAAATTTAAATAACATTTGAACACATTTTTACGAACTTTATACATTTCATGTGAATATTAACTATATGCGCATGGGCAGAATGGGGTGGTGAAGGGAGATTCATTTCAAAAGCAAACCACAGTCATAGTAAAACCTGATTTGTTTGTTTTAATAATGGGACCTGTTTCACAGAGCCTTTTTTCAATGACAAATGACAAATATCACTGACAAATCTGCTGATAACCAATCAGAAGCAAGGATTTCAGTAGCTTTTAACAAAAAATGTCATTTGTCACTGATGACAAGTTCTGTGAAACGTTGCTTTGAGTATGTGTGTGCTGTGAGGTGCAAGGAGGTTTGATTACCTAACCTAAAATCATCTTGTTGTGATAACATGTACATGTGTAAATCCATTTAAATTGATTCAATGCAAAAAAAGGACTTACCCATACATGTACAGTACAGACATTAGTAGCTTTAAACAAGGCTAGCACAGTTTGAACCTCCGCAAAATGCGAAAAAATGAACAGCATCGATTTTTGTTTTCTTCTCTTTTCTGCTTCCATTTATAATTATTAATAAAACTTGAATTCGGCGTAAATATTCATAATTGAATGACACACGCCCTTAAGACTAAAACAACAACAACAACCGGTATGTTTGAACTCTGACGACCTGCCTCCAGACACTGGCAAATTCATTTTTAAATGGACAATTTTGTGTACACTGTAATTCTGTTCTAGTATTAGAGTATTTTATTGCATACTCTAATATATAACGCTTGTATCCACTGTACAAGATGCTCAAGGAGGGAATTCGTCTTGCCACAGGATATTAGCTCTAAGCTATCACCTTTGCATTTTCATTCAAGTGTTCTCTTCAAGCTCTTCGGCTACATCACTTCTTTTTTCTATATTAAATTTGTTCATATTATATGCCACAGTTCATTTTTCTGAAGGCTAGCATGGATTCAAAATACATTGTTGCTGGATTTAGAGTTTAATAGACACTGAAATTTGATATTGCTGATCATATGATCATATCAATGTACATGTATCACAAAAATATATTTATTGAACTAATCCCACACAATTTAATTGGTTCCTCCTTTCAAATAAAGGATACACTTGGAGGGTACTTCAACCTACTAGAATACAGTGCAGAATAATTGCAAAATGTAATTTACATGTACGAGATATTACATCATACAATGTAGCTCTTTCAAATTCAATTTCCTAACAGAATGTGAATTTAGCTTGCATATCTCCCTATCTCCCTATGGTAAGTCTTCATATCAACAATTTGTCCCTTCCCCCCCCCCCCCCCCTCTCTCTCTCTCTCTCTCTCTCTCTCCTTCTAGATTTGAGCTTCATCTTCATGCCATACATGCACCATCCATCTTCACTGATCCATTCACAATATGAGGTCTCTCTCCCCCTACCCCCCCCCCCCCCTCTCTCTCTCTCTCCATTGGGTTTCGCCCATATCACTTGGTATTCCTCATCTCTCTCTCTCTCTCTCTCTCTCTCTCTCTCTGTTCTTGAGCTCCATCTCCATCTCTTCATCATATCCATATAATCTTGTACATACAGTGTATTCATAGAAATACACATATCAATTTTCACTGATCCACATGTATTCTCGCCACCCTCACTCTCTCTCTCTCTCTCTTCCTCCTCCTCCTCTTCTTCTTTACATGTTTCTCTCAATTTCTGACTTTGGTGTCCCTCTCTCTCTGATTTTTGTCCCTTCATCTCATTCTACATGCTTACAAATGCATGTCTACATCTTCACTGATCCACATTCTATTAACCCCCCCCCCCCTCCGCTTCTCTCTCTCTCCCCCCCCCCCCCTCCCCTCTCTCTCCCCTCTCTCTTTCTCTCTCTCTCTCCCTCTCTCTCTCTCTCTCTCTCTCTCTCTCTCTCTCTCGCTCCCCCTCTCTCTCTCTCTCTGTCTCTCTGTCTCTCTTTCTCTGGTCTCACTCTCTCTCCCCTCCCCTTCTCTTTCTCTCTCTCTCTATCTCTCTCTCTCTGTCTTTGCCCTCCCCTGCCTAGCTCTCAATTTTCTACCTTATATAAGTTTAGATACATGTATGGTATTTCTATCTATTTGCCCCCTCCAAATTCCATCTTCATCTCCTCATTTCATCTGCATCATCTCTCTCTACAAAACATAGTCATACATGCACAATCATGTACAACATGCGCATCTCTGTCGTCGTGTCGTCGCTGATCTATCCACAATCTACGGAGGTCATCCCTGGAACCCCAATCAGTCGATAGACGAATGACAACGACACGTGCTCAGGATGCATTTGATTATCTTGACAGACAAGGCTTATGGTGTAGCCCCACTAAGTCATTCTCAAGTCACATGGTAGTACTCGGCTAATTATCCATTCCCTTGTCAAGGAACGTGGGTTCAATTATGAGATGGATTTTTGCAAGAGATCCCTGTACATAGGAGAGCGTTCCATTATTTGCTCAACTTCCAATCATATAACAAAAATACATACATGTCCCATATGAAAACAAGTTTCAATAACTACTTTGTCCTTCATCTACAAATGACAAATATCTGCCTAAACCATGGTGTCTTCTCAACTAATTTAGTTGCCACACACTTTCATTTTAAAGAAAATATAGATCATTTTTTGCTATAAAAGGCCCTGAAGCCCTTTTAACATGTCGAACCTTCATTTTTTGAAACATTTTTGTTTGCCTCTCATTTTTGTATATTGTTGATTTAGCTCTGCATTTCTATTAAACATTTTTTTTAAAGCCAAAAAATGAAAAGGTTAATTCTAATGGCATTTGAAAGATAATTCTAATTTAGAACTTCCCTCAAAATGAAAGGGCTTGAAAATGTCTTTAAGTGGGAAAATAATGATCATTAGTTGTCGAATCGACTTACAGGTGTAAGTGATTGCAATCACTAAAGTAATAGTCTAATATTCATACCCTTGTACCGAATGGTTGTACGTTTTGTGCTGCACAAAGATTCAATCACTTAAATTTTGGCCATTACAGGTAGTGGGTCATTGATGTAAACAAATAATCATGTACCCTTTACAGCTCATTTTATGTACAGTATGTTATTATTTTACCAAAGAAAAAAAAGAAGTCAGTCAGTCACTCAATAGTGGCTGACAATGGAGTCAAGAGAGGCAACGGGTTTCCTAGCATAATTTGAATATTAGGACACTGCTAACGTATAAATTTCACACATAGGACATATGTGACATGTTCATAATTCCTGCATAGTTCCAGAGAGTTCGATGTTGGCTGCAAATGGGACATACTACCTTTAAAGCTTTGTAAGCTCTTGTAACCTGAATGTCACATTTTTATGGGGATTACACTCTTTTTTTTGCAGACATCTTTGATACTGTACTTTGAAATAGCATAACATTTGTCACTCCTCCAACAGTACACCTTTTCTCTAAAAATCACCCTACTCTATTACCCCACATATCCTATCCCCCAGTATTTATTGATCAATTTTATTTTCTAATACAGTCAAACCTGCTTTACTTTAGTGACCACCTGTCTATAAAGACCACATTTTTTGTTTCCCTTGAAAATGGTTTGTTATTGAAACATGTACTAAAGGAACCCGTCTTCAAAGACCACCTGTCTACTAAACAACTTTTTGTGTTTCCCTTGGGCGGTCATTATAGACAGGTTTGACTGTACCACCACCAACCAACCTGCATGAATTGCGTGAGTTCATCTTTGACCCGTTCTGTCTGCTCATAGAGAGTGTTACAGTACATGTACATCAGGGCTCCTTTCCTCCAGTGCAGGCACTCCACAAAGTCCTTGCCAAGGATGTCCATCGGCAGAGAGAAGTCCCCAAAGACCTTCTTAACGAGATCGACCGGTCTGGCGTACAGGTCTGTAGATGGTTGGAATATGAAGGAAAAAATGAAAAGATATGTTGATAAAGATAACCTGACTCAGTTATCAGTATAGTATGAAGCATATAATGACTGAACTTGACAATCCAGAGAGAAATCCCCAAAGACCTTCTTAACGAGATCGACCGGTCTGGTGACAGGTCTGTAGATGGTGGGAATATGAAGGAAAAATGAAAAGATATGATATAATAATAGAGATAATCTGACTCGGTTACAAAATTCAGTTTTTTATCTCAGTATACTGTACATGTAGTATGAAGCAGATAATGACTGTCTGGCATACAGGCCTGTAGATGGTTGGAATATGAATGAAAAAATGAAAATATAATTAAGATACATGTATGATATAAAGATAATCTGACTCTGATACAAATTCAGTTTTAATATCTCAGTATAGTATAAAGCCCAAATTCACAAAGGAGGTTTAACCCATGGTTTAAATCTTCATTTACATATTACCCATGGTCTAAATTTAAAGCAAAATAAGCATGACACTGTCAGAGGTCCAATATTAGGGGAAAAATATTACAAAAACATTACTAATATTAAACAAAACCAAGTCGATGCCCTTGGACACTTCGGTAAGGCATTAATCCTCATTACCAAGTCCTTAGGACAGGTTTTAAAGCCGTTGGTCCCCTGGTTGTTCACTTTAATACAAGCGTATCAAATCATAAATGCTTTCCTAGCTGTGGGGTAAAACAATCATCAACCATCATCATGTCTGTCCCTGGGCAGAGGCATAATAGAAATGTTGTCCATGTTACATGCACTATGAGTATTTTAAATGTTTTTCCACAAGAAAAGTCTGTTCCAGTCACTTCATGACCACACTGCACATGGAAAATTTCCATAATAATCTCAAATAACAAAATATCAAATTGTCTTATTCTTTGTTTGATACTTATGTTAAACTTTCTCTTTGTCTATACATGCACAGTATCATGTGTCTCTCCAGCATACTTGTTATGAATATTTGAAGACAATATTACCCTATAAAGAACATTCAAGGATATCATGTCTCTCCTGTTCCAAACACAGTATGGTCTCTGAGACTCCTCAGCCACATTTATTCCCTAGCTGGAAAAATTCTCATTTTCAGCAAGCCTAATTCAGAGATGCACGGTGAGAAGGGTGCAAAGTCATACAAAATTGAAACACTCGGTGTGGAAAGAATATCATGAATAATAATATCCATTGGCGCCTAGGCTTGAAGGTGATGAATGATGCAGTACACAGACACGCTTCAACACTGGCAGATCAGGGTCTTGGGCCGGTGTACAACAAGACCATGCTTCCCTTTGACACTGACCAAAGTGGTATACATGTAAATTCTAGCACACAAGATTGTTAAAATGTGTCACCCCCCCCCCCCTTCTCCTTGGAGGTGATGACGTTTTTTTAGCTTGTCAAGGAATTGTTGAGCTACACTGCCTACACAGTACATTTAAAATCAAATCACAAATCTTGATGACCCCCCCCCCCCCCATCCCCCCACCCCCACCCCATTGGCTATTTTTGTTTGGAGGGGGGGGGGCAGGGGCTTGACAGTAAATTCTAGCAAGGCCCTCTTGAAATTGACTTTAAGAACCGGTACATTACATCACATGTTGGACTTTTGTGTCAACCTGCATCTAACAAAGACATTTTAATTTGGTATTGAACCCTCTACTGAATATTATGAAAGATATGTGGATTACTGTACATGTACATGCAAGATGCAATTCACTCAAAGCATCCAGAGACAATGCTTTCTGTGTGGGAAGCTCAAATCATTTTTTTAAATTCATCAAATTTTCATTACCGGTATATTTTCTTGTGTACATGTACATGTACATGTATCTCTACTGGTGATAAAGCAGATGCTTTATTCATGTTAAGACATTTTAAATGCCACTTCCCTTGATGAAAAGAAAACCTGTCATTCTTTTTTTCTCCAAAAGAGCCAGTGACACAATACACATGTATATAAATTGTTGTTGACATTTTCTTGCACCCATAATATATGTAAATTGCTTTTTCACAACATGTATAGTGCAAAATACCTTGACATTTCGTAACTTGTTCATGCTAAACCTCTCTCCACTCCTCCATTTCAATTTTTGCTGATGTTTGAATTATTGCTTGCAAATCTCGTCACTTCCAAGCAAAAGCAATTTCTACATACAGTATGATGCCTAGGCATTTGTTGTATAAAGCTATGACATCTCAATCTGGCCCATATGATTTCAGATAGGTGTTCACTTTTGCAAAGGGCCATTTTTAAGCTTGCTCATCATTCTGCAGGAAAGCATTTAATAAGTGGAAAATTACGACAATATGGAAATTTACGACATTGTGACAATTTCAACATTCAGACCAGCATTTTCTTCAACACAAGTTGTTGCTGACCAGTCAGAAAAGCAAACTCCAGCACACAGCCTTTTCCCCTTCACAACTTTCATCTATCCCTTTAAAACAGACACACACAGAAAATAAATTTACAAAATCGATAGAAGAGCTACATGTAAGATGGATAATTTTCATATAATTTAGTCTGAAAACAATATCCCTAATAACATTATAGGTCAAATATTGGAAGTACTGTAATCAAAATAACCTTGTCCTTCTCACCAATATAGTGCATTTACACTGTAAGCAAAAATCATGGATTTTTCTCACAATAAGTCACATTCAGGCTGTTGCTCAGCAACCACCAGCAAATCAAAATCAAAATATCCACCTCTGGAGTGTTTTTTTTTTTTAAATACATGTATGTACCTGCAGAAAGTTAAAACATCACAATTTTTTAGTGTAATAAAAGGCCTGCCCTCAAAACATCAGTAAATGATTCAAGTTTCTAGACACAAGACTTCTGTGCAATTGCATGGATGCAGAGCAGCAAAATGACGAGCAGTGTAAATGACAGTCTACAAAATTGAAAATTTTGAAAATGGTGTTTGGGCTGTGTGAATACATTCATGAATACATTCATGTATGGTACTGTGCATGACCTTCACACAGTTTTAAAACCAATCTTCAAAAATGATTAATTATGAAACATCACTTGATGGAAGTTTCATTATGAAAACAAGCAGTTATGAAAGAAAAAAATAAAGCAAATGGTACCTACATGTATAGGTGTTCAACATGTAGTGGATAAATATCCATGAAGCATGTACTGTATATAATATTTCATAATAGCTTTTCTAGTTAATATGCATTAAGCCATCAGAAATGTCAACCACCAAACCACTTTAATCCATCCCTGACAATCATACAATATCACTCACCTAGATTCTACGCAGGGTTCATAAAACAAAATATTCAGACAACAATCGGCTACGTGTGTTGGCATGTCGACGGGCTACAAATACGAGAACATTTGACAATATCTTCTGGCCCAATCACAATCAATGAGAAAATGTTTTTGGATAAACATTAAGGACCAACAAATGGAAATGATTTTCAATTGTCATTTACAGTAAGAGGGATTCATCATTTTTTTAATTAATGCCTTGACAAAAAGGCAGTCAAAGGGCCATAGAGATAAAAATTGAGTATGATACACGTAATCTATCGTATTCATATTTTGGTGCTCTGACTTTTGCTCCAGCTACATGTATAATTCATTAGGGCTAGGGTTGCGATTGGAATTTAGATTACATTTATGGTTAGCATTAGGATTATGGTCCGTCCAGAAAGTTGGGGCAAATTTTTTGACATACCAGAAGTGAGAAACTATGCCTCCTATCAACTGTAACAATGTTTGCTCAAATTGAGTTTTGCATAAAAAGCATTGCCAACTATCTTCAGAAGTACCCAAGCGTCATGGTGAATTAATATTATGGACCCAAAGTTTACACTGTATGTAATGTTACATGTATATGAATATGGTGTCCATGTAACGCTAGTTACAACAAGAAATGGGTATGAAGCAAAGATTTTGAAGAAAAGCAACTGAAACAGGAACGATTCTGGCAGGGCACTACTATATTCAATGCATTCAAATCTTCAACAAATAATGTCATCTTCCATGTGCAGTAGAAGATGTCATACCTACGTTACATGGACACCATCATATTTTTTACCCCAACTTTATGGAATGACCCTTACAGATGTACAAGTTTGGGTTCAGGGGAGGGTTAAGTATTCTCTTGCCAACTGGTAATTTTCTGTCATCCTACTTACCAACATGGAAAAAAAATACATGGGGGCTCGGGGCGAATTAGCCCCCAAAATGCCAAAAAGAGCCCCCAAAATTCATAAAAGAGCCCCCAAAATTTGCATAGAGTTCAATGCAAAACAAATTAATGAGTGTTATTTTCATGCAAGCAAGCTTGAAAAGTAGCCTCCAAAATTTGTTCAATAATTTTTTTCCTGCTTACCCATTAGTTTGGTCATCCTGGCCCTTCCATCAGCCAATGGGAATTCATCTTCTACCAGCTGATTTTCTTCCAAGAAAGTCACGTCTAGCAGGATCTGCAATAGAGAATTATAACAGTCAAAGGTAAAGACCAGTTTTGGAAACGCCCCCCTCTCAAAAAATGAAATGGAAGCTCTTATCACCAATCACATGAAAGAATGTTTTGACTAATACATGTACATGTACATGATGATAACAAATTTACTGGGAAATTGCCTACTAATTGATATATTTGGTAAATTAGTTTATCTATTGGGACCAAATATATAATACGCATGTGTCGCACACGTGTGCGTAGTCCCATATACATCTTTCTGTGTACAGTGCTTGTAACTTTACGAAGACTGGGCCAAATTTCTTATAATTTTGATGATTCCAGAACCTTGCAGTACGCACCAATACTTACAATGTACATGTGCTAGATGATCAACCTTTTCTGATCGAATCCACAACGTTTCTTTCACAATGCAATCGCATGACCAGAACTGGTCTTTATCTTTATTATTAAAGCAATAATTTTAAAAGGAGATATAAAACCTTATTACTCAGTAAATACATTACCAATATTTCGTCAGGTTTTTTTTTGTCTTGGTCTTTGTAATGTAAGTAAAAAGTTGTTCTTTCTTTCACAATGCAATCGCATGACCAAAACTGGTCTTTATCTTTATTATTAAAGCAATAATTTTAAAAGGAGATATAAAACCTTAATACTTAGTAAATATATTACCAATGTTTGATCAGGGTTTTTTTTTTGTCTTTGTCTTTGTCTTTGTAATGTAAGTAAAAAGTTGTTCTTGTTTTTGTTTTGTGTCAATCTTATGAATATCTATGCTTATACATGTACTTATGCTGTAAATTTCCAATCTGGTCCTATACTCTCATCTTATCCTAATTTCAAATTTTCAGTTTCAGATTTTGTGTAGGTGGCAGCACTAATGAGGCATTTCCTTTCTAGCTGTCTCCTCATTCTCATAAATGCTCACTTTTCCCTATATTTTGTCCAGACTACCTTTATGATGTATATCTTTGTAATGTACAGTGTATGTTATTTTGTCTTTGTATGTATGCGATATTTGTATGTTATTTTATCTAAATGTATTTATGATGAATGAAATAAATTGGACTATCTATCTATATATCTATCTATCAATAAGTCGTAAAAGTAATAATGATATTTATAATTAAAACAAAATGATGATTTAGGAGGAGAGGGAGTGCACGACAATAGTTGTGAGGTGGGGGAGGGGGAGGGGAAAAATCTTGTACGGCTCACATCAGGGCTCCACAGCCTCCACACTAACTTTTTTTGAAGGGGGACCGGATAATTTTGATGTTTTCAACTGTTTGTATGCACGACCCTTATGTTAAAAAAAGAATCTGCCATTTTCAGACTTAGATTTTGGGCACCCATGCATCCCAGCTACATGTACATTAGGTGCCTTTTAGTGTTGAGCCCTGCTTACATGTACAGATTGGCGACTTTTTTTAAAAGTTACAAAAAAATTAGCACTGATAAAAATGTTCTTCTGAACTTCATGTAATATGTGTACAGGTGCATGTACATGTACATTATGGTCAAATGTGTGCTATGATAGAGATCAAGCTATCATTTGAAACATGATTATGAACAGTTTTTGAGCGTCAAGTACATTGTAACGCCTGGCTGGAATGCTCCCTAGGGAGTTGAGATTATGCACACAATGTGTGCGGGCAAGCACTGAATCCAACGGCCAGGTAATATCTGTAAAGCGCTTTATAGGGACAGTCATTGTATTAAGCGATATATAAAAGCGGAATATTATTATCATTAATGAAATAACATTTTAAAGGTCAAACTAAAACTAATCTTCATTTTTGTTTGTACATGTATTTTAAAATTGCTCAAATTGATTCTTGAACATTCGATCAGTGAAAGTTTTATTTAAAGCCCACCAATACTAGTGAACAGGAGGGATTATACCACCCTGCAAGGTCACTTGGTAGGTGGTTATCTCATCAAATCAGCTCTCAACATAAGAAAAAGAGGATCATGATGTATCAATGGTCACCGATCATGCATTGTGTGTTATATATGTATAGAGGGAGCAAGTAGCTATAAGTAGTGCAGTGTGGCTTTAATAAACAAGAAACTTCAGAACATACATGTATGCAAACTTATTTTCCAAGGTAATTCGACCAAACCAAGAAGTTATGATTTCTTTTGGGGGACATACTTATCAGATTGTTAACATTTATGCCAACTTGATGCAATTAATATAAATCTACATCATGTACAATGTAGGCATACAGGCCTACAATACATACATGTACTACTGTACAGTATCTAGAAAGGCTGCAATTGGGTGTATAAACTGCCTCATGTAACATTATAATTTTCAGAAATCCTTCAAACAGATGCCTTTCATCTTGTTCCCTACCAGGAGTGACTCAGCATGACAAATACCACGTACTCTCTTGGATATGTCAAGGAGTCAAGGAGCAGACCAGCTATGGGACGTCGTCCCAACTCTCCCAGTTCATTATACATGCAGTGCATGCGTGACACACCAAAACCCACTACAATTTCATCGGCGTCCTGTATTACTTTACATTTAAATGTATTCTCATATTTGTCCCAGACATGTACAGCAGATTATCCTCGTAAAATTCAATATAGATGTTCATGTACACATGTATATAAATACTTAAACAGACTTCTTTATTTTGTAATGTATCATATATACTCAGTATATAATCTTTGTATTCTTTTGTTTCCAAGGTGCGATTTAAAATCACTGTTGTGTTTATCAAATAATAATTAGAAAAAGAAGAAGAGGAAGACAACAAATAATGATAAGAATGATTATGATGAGTACTACAACATGTACTTCTAAAGTTCTAATACTGCTACTAAGTACCGGTACTAATAAAAATAACAATTTTTTTTTTTACCTAAATCGCTATAAATACCTCTTCTCTCTCTCTCTCTTGATATGTCAAGGAGTCAAGGAGCAGACCAGCTATGGGACGTCGTCCCAACTCTCCCAGTTCATTATGCAGTGCATGTGTGACACACCAAAACCCACTACAATTTCATCAGCGTCCTGTATTACTTTACATTTAAATGTACATGTACATGTATTCTCATATTTGTCCCAGATATACCGGTACTACATGTACACTGTACATGTACAGCAGAAAATGATTATTGTGTTGAATTAAACATACGGTACAGATATATGTAGACCTCCAAATTTTTCGATATTATAGTACTCAGTAAGTGATCTTTGTATTCTTTTGTTTCCAAGGTGTCATTTTAATTCACTGTTTATTTGATAAGTAGTACTACTACTCCCATTGATAATAATAATAACAAAAACAACAACAAATATTTTTTTAAATAATAATGATAATGAAAAAGAGATGTGAATATTATCATTAATGGGGGCCAATTTTTTTAGACATACATGTACTCTAGTGATTAAAATTAAAAAAAATTTAAAAAATTGACCAAGGAAATCAATGACATTATTTTCTTAAATCATTATTTCAATCACTGCTGGTGTTTAAAAAAAGAGTTACATGTACTTTACATGCATCATCATTCATCAGTGACACATGATGTGTATGTTTATGTAAAAGGTTTTATGAAACCAATGTGAGTACATGTACATGTACATACATTAGTGAGCAGAATAGCTTTTAGTGATTTTCCATAACATTTTAATGACAAGCTTTAGTTAATTCTAAATCAATATTGATACTACACGTGTACATTAGAGTGGACTTACCCTTTCAGAATTACATTAATATTAAAGATACAACCGTATCTCCCTTTTGCAGCCAACATAAAATTCTGTAGAACTTTGCAGGGATTATGAATACCGGTATGTCATAGGAGTCATTCAATGTTGAATCATCCAATGGTTTTAACCTGACCGTTTTTTTATTTCGATGAAACTTAGTGTGATCTCACAGCACCAAATAAACCAAATTTTAGGTCAATTGGGTGAGGGGTTTGGGAGATATATACGTAGCCCATCCAAATTTGAGATTTTTGGCAAAAATGGGGGTTGCCGTCTGCCTTTGAACCCTTGTATCTCAGGAACTAATGGGTCAATCTTCAAAAAATTGGTATTGTTGGAAAGGGAAATATTCATAATTCCTGCAAATTTGATGTTGGCTGCAAAAGGGACATACAGTGTACATGTAGTTTCTTTAAAAGCAAACATTTATAAGAACAGTAATCAAATGAGCCTGGGCTACTATCTCTGTGTATTATAACTTAAATATATTGGTAAATTCAATATGGCAGCTTTCATGAATCGTATTAGACAACAACATTCGTCAAATCTCGACAAATAATCATATATTGTCAAATTGCAAACAAAACACGATTATAGACGGAAATACTGTATGAATGTAAGTACTACTTTTCTACACATATAGTTACGTTTAAAGCAGTTTTGAATGTGAAATGTGTCTTTTTCATCGGAAATTTTCATAAGACAAAATCAAGAGGATTGAGGATTCTCCATGTACAGTAGTACTTGTAGAAAATGCACCTCTTTCACTGGCTTACCGGTGACTATTATATCTCATACATGTACATAAATTGTCATTCACCGATTGGTCAAAACTATATCACATGACAAGGAGCATCTCGATCTATCATTGCAACGTTCTATCAAACCCTGTGATAGTAATCCTAACCTCTCTGCGTCTTTGCGCACACACACACATAGAGCGTAAAAGATTTCAAATGCCCTCCAGCGCGCACCTCACAAGCCATGCAATTTACGCTGAGCCGCAGTAACTGCATTATCTTTAATACTGCAGTACATGTACATGTACAGTATAGATTGAATTTCCGTATGTTGGTTTTCTTTTAGCGTTAGATATTTGAAACTATTTTGAACTTTAAAAGACTGTAAATAACTAAAATATTACTGTGAGGAGCAGACTCTTGATATTGGATTTCTTTTCTAGACCTATTCATGAATCAATGAAAAGGACAAGGTATGTACGTGTATAAAACAAATATGGACTGCTCTGTAATGGTGGAGGAAATTATCACTCCCTCATTGGTGTTCATACCGGCCCTTCTATCAACCAAGAGGCGAAGCCGAAGCCGAGGGGGTGACAGAAGGGCCGATATGAACACCATCGAGGGAGTGATAATTCCCACCATCATCCTCATGAGCAGTCCATATTTGTATACTAGCACTGGATACCACACAATTTTGTCACTTTATTTCTATATTTTTTGTTACGTTCCCTTCTTTAAAGACCGTCACCACTACTGGGCCAGAAGGGATTAGACCACACAGCGAGGTCACTGACACTTGGCTATCTCATTAACTCAGCTCTCAACTAACATAAGAAAAAGAGAATTATGGGGGTCCAACAGGCACTGATTGGGGAAGTTTTTATATAGAGGGAGCAAGTAGCTACAAGTAGGACAGTGGGGCTTTAAATCTTTCTCATTGTCCTTCTTTCTTTCTTTCTTTCAAGTTCTTGTTTCTTTCTATTCCTTGTTGTAACTTGTGTATTTAATAACATCTACATGTACAGTACATGTATTGTCTGAAAAGAGATTTTTGCTCGTAAAGTGTTTGTTCCTTCGTGTATTCAATTCATTTTCATAAAAAACACAGCAAAAGCAAATAAACATACAAGTAAAGTATACTAAAGCAGAGAATGTTCAGTTTAAATGTATATATGGTAACTTCAAATGAAATACATGTAGGAGAACAAAGGACAAGCCATGGTGGCCTTGTTTAAAAAAGTTCCTCTGAATATTATAATACTGAGTAATAATATAAGTTAAAGATACAGTCAAACCTGCTTTAGTGACCACCTGTCTACAAAGACCACCTGTCTACAAGGACCCCATTTTTACTTTCCCTTGAAAATGGTATCTCATTGAAACATGTACTAAAGGAACCTGTCTACAAAGACCACTTTTTGTGTTTCCCTTGGGCGGTTGATATACATGTAGACAGGTTTGACTGTATCACAAAAGACTGATAAACACAATATCAAGCAAACAATTACAAAAACGTGTGAAATAATGTAAAATTGTAATACATACTTTAATTTTATACAAGTGTAAATTCACTAACTAATCTAAGAAACAAATATGGAAAACATGTCATCTCACCTGAGTGAATTCTTTAAGAGCTTTTTTCACAATTCCTTCTGTGTCAGGGCTCCTGAAGATCGAAATTGAGAGAAATAAAAACATGAAAGCACAAGAAGGTTATTCTTTTATCAGGAGATAAACACTCCTCCTCCCCCTCCCCCTCCCCCTCCCCCTCCTCCCCCTCCTCCTCCCCCTCCCCCTCCTCCCCCTCCTCCTCCTCCTCCTCCTCCTCCTCTTCTTCTTCTTCGTCGTCATCTTATTATAATTCTTCTTCTTCTTATCCTCCTTCTTCTCGTCCTTCTTCTTCTTCTCCTTCTAATTAAATTTCTTGTAAAAATAAAAAGTACTAAGAGTACACTGCAACATTCACCTGCACTCGCGAGAATTGCAGTGCAGCATGCAGCATGCAGTACACAGCTCAGTGCATGATATGCCAGCCTGCAGGGCGCGGCGGCTTACGCCAGGCAGCGGCCGTGTACTGCTGCTGCGCTCATGATCTGTGAGTTTGAATTCAACTTACTGTAAATCAGCCATGTATTTTTCAGCTACTGCTTGAGACTTAAGAATAACCATCTGATCTTTCGGAAACCGTCTGCACATATCTCGACAAAGTAATGATATCGATGAAAATGCCGATATCAGTTCGGCGACATCGAAAGAAGTCATTTTGCTGTTGTTTCCAAGTCTTTGCTCCGCTGACTTAGCCGGTTTTGTGAGAAGTACCCGAACCTGTGTACTGTATAGAAATAAAGAGAAAATCGTTTCCGGTAATAACACACAAGTCTCTTTGCATGATGCATCGTAAATTAATTTTACGAGTAACTTTCTTCCCTCTCAAATGATTTCGTAATATCATTGATATGGTTTTGAATCTAAAGTTTATCATAATCAAGATAACAATCGAAACAAATAATTAATTCCGATCAATCTAGAATCTGCATAAAAATTTTCAAATAATATTTTTTCGGTCGACGAAGGAGCATGCTATAAATTAGCCTTGAAAACAGACCACGGCATTTCGGTGGACGGACCATTTCAGTTCATGATTATACAAATAATAATTATACAATAATTCTGACTATTTTTCAAATAAAACCAAACGAATAAAAAGAAAATGGTGGGAAGGCGAGGGGAAGGGAGGTGAGGGGGCCAACAAAAAATGGCACTTCCTGCCTCCTGGAAGAAAAAGGGGGACAAAGGAAAACCTCCTACACTACAGCGCGACAACACTCTTTAGACATTGGTATATCAGGGATTTTTTCAATATTATTTTGTTTCTCTCTTTACATGGTCCAAGATACTGCTTAGGAACATCTTTCGCAGTTGAGTGTGATGGTCGAAATACTAATTTGCGAGCGAGCGACAGGCGCGGATCCAGGGGGGCGAGCGGGCCTTGCCCCCCCCCCCCCCCCCCCCCCCGGCAAAAAAAAAAGAGAGCGAGAGAAAGAAGGAAACGGAAGGAAAAGGGAAAGAAAGAAGAGGAAGAAGAAAATAAAAATCGGTAAAAGAAGGAGATCGGGCGGAAGGTCCTTGACTCCTCCCCCCCCCCCCCCCCCCCCGCCCCGTCAAAAAAAAAGAGGGGAAGGAAGGATAGGGAAAGAAAATAGGAAAAAAAGGAAGAAGAAAAGAAAAGAATTAAGGGGGATATCAGTTGCAATCATGGATCGGGGAGAGGAGGGGGGGGGGGGCAAAAGGGCCTTGCCTCTCCACCGACCTCGACCCCGCCAAAGAAAAGAGAGAAGGAAGGGAAAGGGAACGAGGAGAGCTAAAAACGAACAAGAAAGAGGAAGAAGAAAAGAAAATGGTGGAAAGAAGGGGAAATCAGTTGACATTACGCCAACAACGTGTGGATCGGGGTGCCGAAAGGACCGTTGCCCCTCCCCCCCCCCCCCCATCAAACCTAAAAGAGAGAGGAGGAAGGGAAGTGAAAGGAAAAGAAGAGACAAAGGGAAGGGAAAAAAGACAAAGAAGTAAGGTAAGGCGAGGTCAGTTGCGATTTAGTCGCCAACAAGGTGTAGTTCGAGGCGGGGGATGGGGGGGGGGGAGATGGGGGGATGCTCTGGCGTACGGATGGGAGTGGGGTGTCCACCCCCCCCCCCCACAACAAAAATACCCCCCCCCCCCCCAAAAAAAAAAAAAAAAAAAAAAATATATATATATATATATATATATATAAATAAATTAACAAAAATAAAATAAAATAAAATGTTGTTTTTTTCTAATTTGATACCGGTAATTTACAAATGTTGCTGAAATGACATAATTTTCCGAGATTTTTCCTCACTTTTTAGTTGATTATACTTTTATATTTTACAAATTCCTAAAATTACCTTTCAGGCGAGAAATGTGCTTATTTAGAGGCTTACATGTCAGGGCCCGCGGAACGGCGGGGCTCGGGGATCTAGAGCTTCCCTCCCACTTTTTTGAAAAAAAATAAAATGGGTACTTATCAGAAGAAGAAAAAAGGCCCCTCCTCCTTCTCCCCTTTTCTCCTCCTATATATTCCTCCTCCCCCTTCTCCCCAAGCTTTGCTCCGCCTATTTAGCTCCTCCTTGTTCGATCTTCTCCAAGCGCGTAGCCAGGATTTCATTTTAGGGGGGGCGGTAGCTGAGCACGCAAAGCGTGCGAATCACTTAAAGAGCGCGCACCCTATGGGGGTGGGTGCAGGGAGGGGGAGGAAGCTTTGAAAGAAGACGATTCGTTGTACCTTTCTCGACTCATAATCCTTGTCTGAATTCAGTCCCTCCCCTCTCTCGCGCGAAGCTTTGACGTTTCATTAAATTATTAGAGAAAGAAGACGATTCGTTGTACCTCTCTCGACTCTTAATCCTTATCTGTATTCAGTCCCTCCCCTCTCTCACGCGAAGCTTTGACGTTTCATTAAATTATTAGAGAAAGAAGACGATTCGTTGTACCTTTCTCGACTCTTAATCCTTGTCTGAATTCTGTTCCCCCCCCCCCCCCCCCTCTCTCGCGCGAAGCTTTGACGTTTCATTAAATTATTAGAGAAAGAAGACGATTCGTTGTACCTCTCTCGACTCTTAATCCTTATCTGTATTCAGTCCCTCCCCTCTCTCGCGAAGCGTTGACGTTTCATTAAATTATTAGAGAAAGAAGACGATTCGTTGTACCTTTCCCGACTAATATTTCTTAATTTAAACTCAGTTTCCCCCTTCCCGCGCGAAGCGCGGAAGCTTTGACGATTCATTGTACCGCTCTCGACTCCTTTTCTCTTTTTCTTCCTACGTCCTCTTTCTTTTTTTTTCTTCTCTTTCTCTCTCTCTTTTTTTTGGCCGGCTCTTTGGGGGGCGACCGCCCCCACCGCCCCCCCCCCCCCTGGCTACGCGCCTGATCTTCTCCTCCTTTTTTTCGTCCTCTTCTCCCTCTTTTTCTTGTTCTTGTTCTTTTTTTACCTGTATTCTATTCAAGATTTATTAATAGAGGATAACATGAGCATTTTTCCTAAAGTGCAATCATATTTTCTGTTATGCATTTTATTATGAACACAACGTTTATTGAGTCCGGTAAATTTTCGATTTCCCCAAAGATTTACTCAAATCTCATCTATTAGTAGGTGGCGCTGTTCATAACTTTTGAATGCCCCGATCAACATGTTATAGTTCCGCGGGGTGAAGCGCGGCCGAAAATTTAACTTCGAGTCAGACAACCTCGATCAGCAAATAGCACCGGAAATAGCATTGTTCTTAAATGATTTATATGATCATTACAATCGCATAATAACTTATAATTGCTATGGGTAGTATACAATAATTTTATTGTTAGGTATTTATGGAAAGTCTCTTTGCAATCGTATCGTTACAGTTGTAACTGTTTATATTTTTCAATAATTTTTATATATTACTTTCAATAATGTTCTATTGAAGAAAATACAACAAAATGTTTCCCCTCATAAGCAGTGGCGGATCCAGGGGGGGGGGCCGAAACGGCCGCGGCCCCCCTATTGGCGGCGCAAAAAAAAAAGAGAAAAAAAAAGAAAGGAGAAGAGAAGAAAAAAAGGAGAAGAGAAAAGAAAAGAGAAGAGAAAAGAAAAGAGAAGAGAAAAGAAAAGAGAAGAGAAAAGAAAGAAGAGAGAGAGAGAAAGAAAAAAGAAGAAGATACCCCCCCCCCCCCCCCACCTCACTCCCACTCCGGGGTCGGAGGGACCGATTTTGTGTTCCCAAATTTCCGATAAAGGGTTACTTTTCACGCAACAAAGTCCGGCCCGTAATAGTACACACAAATCCGGCCCGCACTGACATTACACACCGAAGATAAAGGGGTGCTTGAGAGAGGGAACATACATGCGCGTACCCTAGATAACACTGAGTGGGTGGGGGGGGGGGTAGGGGGGAGGTGGGAAGGGGAAGAAAAAAGTCGGGTGAGAAAGGGGGAAAGACAAGGAAATGGCGCTAAGTGACAGTAACGACGAATATTAGGGAAAACTGTAATCGGGAGATTTGGGGTCATTCCAGAAGGCTTGGAAAACGTTATTGAATAGAGGGGCCGGGCCGCGTTATTTTTTTATGCGGCACAGATTGGGGCATGGCGCGTGTTAAACCTATGGGAAGTACGTTCTTTCCCTTCTGAATAGTGTCTGCACGTACGTGAGACTAGTCATGTTAGCTAGCGCATTAGCGCTGCGAAGAAGTTTGTATATCCATCGCGAACTATGTGTTTAGATAACATTCCTCTTCGTTTAAGTTAGTTAAGTTTTATTGACTAATTATTGTGAAATTCTCCTTATTGACGTGCTGCCTCCACTTCAGATTTCCAATTTGATTGTAATTGTTGATGTAATGATTTTCCATGCGGTAGTGGATTAAATGTAACACTATTAAAAACAGACCTCTACTACTTATACTGTGTAGTACGCACACGACCAGTATTAGTCTGTAAATCAAGACCCCTTTTTAAAAAAAGCCCCAATCTGTGCCGCATAAAAAAATAACGCGGCCGGGCCGGCCGCATAAAATCTCGAGCCACGGATTCAAAGTTAAACGTTACAAACAGCCCCTGCTTTTTGAAAAAAATTAAAAAGGGCAAAATATTTTGGATGTCTTTCAAATAGAAGCTATATACTAAACAGTCAATGTTATAAATTAACGGTAGGGCCGCTTCACTACTCTTATTTTGCCCTTCATTTGGATTCAGCTCATACCAACTCGCTTGTGCTTATATTTTGAACTCATGTTGGTAGTGATAATGGACAGCAGCGGCGATCCTGGGCCCGATAGAGGGACACGTCCCCCCGGAAATTTAGATATTTAGCTAGAAAGAAATATACATGTAGCGGAAAGAACGAACAAGGATTAAGAATCGAGAATGGGACAACGAATCATCTTCTTTCTCTAATAATTTAATGAAGCGTCAGAAGCTTACGCGCTACGCGCGGGAGGAGGAAAACTGAATTCAGACAAGGATTTAGAGTCGAGAATGGAACAACGAATCATCTTCTTTCTCTAATAATTCAATGAAACGTCAAAGCTTCCGCGCTTCGCGCGGAAGGGGGGAAACTGAATTCAGACAATGATTAACAACCGAGAACGGTACAACGAATCGTCTTCTTTCTCTAATAAATTAATGAAATGTAAAAGCTTCCGCGCTTCGCGCTGGAGGGGGTATGGAAACTGAATTCAGACAATGATTAAGAATCGAGAACGGTACAACGAATCCGTCTTCTTTCTCTAATAATTTAATGAAACGTTAAGCTTCTGCGCTTTGCGCTGGAGGGGGGAATCTGAATTCAGAGAAAGATTGAGGGTCGAGAATGGAACGACGAATTATCTTCTTTCTCTAATAATTTCATTAAACTATGAAAGGTCAATGCTTCGCGCGGGAGGGGGAAAACTGAATTCAGACAAGGAATAGGAGTCGAGAATGGTACAACAAATCGTCTTCTTTCTCTAATATCAATTAATGAAAGGTCAAAACTTCCGCGCTTCGCGCGTAATGGGGGGGGGGGAGGGGAACAGCGAGCTGTCCGAATATGAATTTGTTATATCTTTTCTCGCATAAAAAATTGTTTTGCTTATAAATAACACATTCACAAAATATTATCCTCAAATTTTTGCTCGCTCACTAGCCGAATTGTGAAACCAGAAATTACTTTTCGGGCGAGAGGCTTCAGCCCCCCCCCCCCCCGATGAAAATGTCAAAAAAAAAATTACATATGGTGCTTCTAATATGACATTGTCAGTTTTGGTATGTTGAAAAACGGTCTGCGCAATTTTCAAATTTCCGGCCCCCCCTATTGGAAAATCCTGGATCCGCGCCTGATAAGGTGTTGTTTTACCCCTTTAATGCTAGAACAACGTGGCATTAGAAACTCAAGGTCACTTGTACGTTGCATCATATTTTGAATCTGAATCAAAGTGTTAATAAAACTAACATCACGAAAGACAGTAATCGGAAAAACAATTGATTTTTATTTTCAAAAGGGTTGGTAGGAAATGTCAAAATGGAGTCATCAAACGTTGAAGAAAATTTAGTTACGTGTATTCTTATATTCCTAGACTCAGGGGCGGCGTTCCCGGGGGAGTAGGGGACATGTCCCCCTCCCCTCAATTTTTTTAGGGGGGATCGTCCCCCCCCCCTCAAAATTTAAAAAAGTGCCCCCAAAAAAATGTATAGCAAATACTGACTAAAGACTGCAACACACTTTTAGGCTCTGGAGGGCCCAAGAGTGCAGCGTTTAGACAAATAAAAATGCAAAACTCTTCTCACTCGGTAGCTACCGAGAAAATTGAAGTGTGAAAAAAGTATAGTGCTTGTTTTTTATACTATAGTTTTGCTAAGGAATGTAATTTTGTAATACAACAAAACTTCAAAAACCTGTGAGGGGGTAGTCACTTCCATCACCTTCACCCTTCTCATTCACTATGCTCCCTCACACTTGCGTACTGATGGGGGGGGGGGGGGGCATTGGGGGCAGTTGTCCCCCAAATGAAATTCAAACATGGTTTATTTCTAATTCGATACCAGTGATTTACAAATGTTGTTGAAATGGCATGATTTTTCCCTGGGCTTCCGGGGGCTCTGCCCCCTGGACCCCACCAAGGGCCCTAAGGCGGGCCCCTGGTTGCTCATCTCTGACCGTAATTAATGCCTAAAACGCCTGAGCTTCCAGGGGCTCTGCCGCCTGAACCCCACCAAGGGCCCTAAGGTGACCCCTAAGGCGGCTCATCATTCTGTTCGTAATTTAATGCCTAAAACTCCTGAGGTTCTTTGGGCTCCGCCCCCTGGACCCCACTCCAAGTGACCTGCATGCCGGTGTCACAAATAAGGTATCAAAATATGCTCGTCTGACCGCAATTAAATGCCTAAAACCCCTGAGCTTCATGAGGCTCCGTCCCTTGACACCCGACGGGGCTTTGCCCCTAGACCCCATGCCGGCTCCACTTTGTTTTGCTTTGCTCTACCTGATCGTAAATACTTTAGCCCCCCCCCCCCCCCCCCCCCCCCACTTTGAAACACGAAAAAAAAAATGCATTTGCTCATTACGCCAATGCTCCGGCGTCCCTCGCATTTCGTCCCACCGGTCATGAAAAGAAATCGCCGCCCCTTGGGTTGTTATATGTTGACTGTTGTTGTTTTAGTTTATATGCGGTCCTCATTCAGAAGTGACTTTTACGTTAGTCTGACTATCTAGCGGGAGAGTACTTTCTTAATGCTAAAAACACGAACACTCTCAACAAAATAAAAACATTTCTTACGTATTATCTATTTATATTTAAAAATAGAAGGGAATTAGTCTATACCTGTAAAAATTTGATGAAAATCTATTAATTAAGAAAAATATTTCTCTTTTCGCATGAAATACAGGCTATATTTAAAGGTCATAAAAACAACCTCGAAGGTCAAACACGTGCAGACTACACGTGGGCAACATGGAAGCTCTACTGACAACCGACACGTCTGGACAGCTATGGACAGCATCTCTCTTCGATCCTTTGACTGGTTCTTCTCTAGCCACTTTCAAGTCAGGGTATAGTTGTCATAGAAGCCTCTGTTCAACCAAAGAAAGACTCATCGTCGCTTCCAAAGACAGACCGATTCTGAGTGTGTGGGACTTCCGCGGATCAAGGAAGGTAATGTCTTGTCGGCGGCACTTCCGGGTTTTAGTACGCCGGACCTCCGGGGGAAAGGAGTGGTGGAGATCGAGGGAATGCAATGCATTCGCGGGGCCTGCTAGCGCTAGTGCAGTGTTGTCGTGTCTGGCCTGGCCTAGATAACTCCAGCTCCAGAGAACTCTCCGACGCCGGTGCCGAAGGCGTCGGAGCTCCCGAGTTCGTACGGGAAAACGATTCAAACAGCAGGTTGGGTCACACTTCGAAATGTAAAGAGGAAGTTATTTCAATTTTGACTTGCAATGTTCTTCGACCATGTCGACTCCTAGACCTAGATCTACTAACTAGTTGAATAGTTCTATGCCTCAGTCTGGGCATCCGTCCAAATACATCTTCGATCACGTTGATGGGAAAAAACAAGGGTGATTCTTCGTCCTAATCTGATGATCTCATCCATGTTGTATTATCAATTCTACATGGAGAAGAGAATTAAAGTATGCATTGCCATCATGGCCATGTGTGGTTTACAACGACGCAGCAAATACGAATATTCATGATAAAGAGTGCCGTTCACTCAAAATTGCTGATTATGCATGAATTTTGAAACTTGCTTTAACAATTTAGTAGTGAAGTACATGCATGGAGTTCGCTGAATTTAGCAAACTACCTGCCCGCGAGCCTTTTAAATTTACACTACTCGTTACTAACTTGTATTATCGTAAAGTAAGTATCAAATTGGCAATGCAAAAACGGTTAAATTCTTTTATCACAAATTAACTCCGAAAAAATTACAAGCTTTCCTTTATTTGATTTATTAGGAACTAGCAATTAGAGCAGATGATATTTCCAGTTTCAATTAGAGACAAAGGTCAAAATCATTTTTGAAGACGATGAATCCCTGCTGATATTTTTCGCTGTCATGTTATTTCTTCCCCCAGCGATATAAAGTCTTGGTACTCTCGGCAATCAACACGGCCAATAAGAATTTAGCCACAAAAACTCGGTCTATATTGCGCACACACAAAATCTAGGACTTTCTGTTAGTTTGTAAGAAGCACCAATTTTTGGGTGGCATTTTGTGGGGTTTTGGGGGTCTAGTATCCGACTTGAGTTACCTCAGAGATTAAGCGCTGAATCTGTTGTCTGATTTTATTGATTTTGTTTTTAAAATGTTTGCAACCCTTTTATGAATGATATCTCTTTTTGCAGGATGGGCAACCTCAACGTCAGATGTGCCCTGGAATCGTTACGGCTCTGGCGACCTCTGCAGATCACCATTACATCGCAGCGGGTATTGCAGAGAAAGTCCACATATGGCAGGTCAGTTCAATGTTTTCAATCCTTCTTGAATTCATGTCCAACTATTCTTATGCCTCCGTTACATAAGTATCCAGAGGCATTATCTATTTGGGTTGTCTGTCCGTACGTCTGTACGTCCCATTCTCGTGATCGTGTTATCTCAAGAACCAATTGATGGATTCCTTCCAAACTTGGGTCATGTATGTATCTTGCAGAGCTGATGAATTGATTAGATGGTGATGATAATGATGATGATTTAATCCTTGTTTCAATTATTTCATCCTGTATTGACACAGCTCACAGATGGAATGCTTGTTGCTGTCTTGACCACCCACTACCAGACAGTGACCAAGGTCTGTTTTACTGATGACGGCAGCCATCTTGTTACTGCTAGCAAGGACAACATGATCCTAATATGGGAAATGTCTGAGTAAGTATGTATGCAGGCAACATGGTTTTAGCAGCAACAGAAATCTGTTTCTTAAAATTTTTAAAGGATATTAAAAAAAAACATACCTATCTTCATAGTATATTTGTAAAGCGCTCAGTCAGTAGAGCGTCCACCTCACAACCGGGAGGTCGTGGGTTCGAACCCCAGCCACGTCATACCAAAAGACATCTAAAGACGGGAGTTGCTGCTACCTTGTTTGGCGTTCAACAATAAGGAGATAGAGCTACGTCGATCTGGCGCTGCTCAGTAGCTGCCGGGCTCACCATCAATTGGGCAAAAAGAATTTCCATTTTCGGTTAAACAAAATTTGGTGTGAACTAAAAGATTATTATTATTATTATCATTACATTTGTATTAAGCGCTATTTAAAAGCTAAATATTATTATTATTATAAATACATGTGTATGGAGAGCCTTAGATATCCTCAAAAGTAATGGATTTCAGTCATACCTGTACATACCAATATTTGTGAGTATTCTTAAAGGTAGTAAATATTATAAAAACCTATCCCATCCTCTCAAAATCTATGTCAGGTCAGGCTTTCTCTGACAGGGACCTGGGACCCGTTTCACAAAGCCTTTCTTCAATGACAAATGACAAAAATCAGTGACAAATCTGCTGATAACCAATCAGAAGCAAGGATTTCAGTTGAATATAACAAAAACTGTCATTTGTCGCCAGTGGCGTAGACAGGTTCGTACACCTGGGGGGGATGACTCAGGGGCGGATCTAGCTTTTTGCTAGGGGGGGGGGTTGACCAATAATGACGATGCGGAGCATCGTCCACGAGCCGCGAAGCGGCGAACCGATTTTTTTTGGGATGTTTATTTGAACCCCGTAAGTGATGTTTTCCTGGCATCTATTAACACAATGGAGACCATAAAAAGCAGTGCATGATAACGTCTTTTTAAATCAAGTAACAGTTAAATACACAGTTATATCCAGAGTTATCATGTGTTTGGTTTATTACCAGATGAGTTGAATATCTTCTCACAATATTTGCACTTGAAAGGGTTTCTCTCCAGCGTGCGTTCTTTTTTCTTTCTTTTTTTTTTTTTTTTTTTTTTTTTTTTTTTTTTCTTTTTTTTTCTTTTTTTGTTTGTTTGTGTTTTTTGGGCCGCCCAAGGGGGGGTTTAAACCCCCTAACCCCCCCCCCCCCCGTATATCCGCGCCTGTTTAATCTTGTGGTTATCTTGTGGTTTCCAAACCACAAGACAACCACAAAATACTTGTAAGATTTTCTTTTTTTTACCGTCTGAATTGGCTTTCACCGTGTGAATGCGGCTAATAACAATAAACACAATTACAATAATGATGAGGATTATTATTATCATCATTATAATTATTATTATTATTAATATTATAATTGTTATCATTATTATTATTACTATTATTATCATCATTATGACTTATAAAGTAAGCAAATATCATTCCCCAAAACCTGGGGGGGGATGATTGTACATGCCATCCCCCCCACCTTGTGAGCTGGGGGGATGCATCCCCCTCATCCCCCCCGTTGTCTACGCCCCTGTTTGTCGCTGATGACAAGTTTTGTGAAACGCCCCCCTGGTGCTCATTGGCTCCCATGTTTTAATTCCAGGCTGCCAGAGTTTATAAATTTAACCCCTTTTTAAGCTCTAAAATTATGCCAGATGCATTGTAGAACGAGCAAAATTTCTGCACACACTGCATCCATTTTTGTTTCGTGACTACTGTACTTTGTGTTTGATGCCAGGAATTCTAAAAATGAAAATAAACCCTAAAATTCTTAAATTGGCAACACTTCAAGAGATTCTAAATCGTTGTATTTCATTCAAAATTTGCAATTGTTCAACTTTTTAACATTCTTATCCAGGTACATGTATATTGTCTTCAGAGACCTCTCATTTTATTTTAAGAATGTTGCCAATAAAAGAAAAATATCGTTGCCAATTTGAGGAAAATATGTGATCAAAGGATTTCATAGTGAATCCCCTTGCAAAAGAGGTAATGTGGACTGTGGAGTCCTTCCTTTTAAGTAAGACAGTTGTTGGAAAGTAAATTGAGAAGGATTGCTTTTTAAAGGGTCTCATATTTCATGCTGCATATAATAGGAAAAAAACACATGGCATATTTCTATTTTTCATTGTTTAGTCCTGTGTGTGCACATCTGTGCAAAGTGGTTAACTGAAATATGTGAATGCCTCTTGTTATAACACAGGATAGTGCATCAGTGCACCCTGGGTAAATCCTGTAGCCCGCTCCATGTGATATCCGGCCACACCCTCCCAGTGACGGACGTGTTCGTCGGTGCTGGAGGCCCTATGGCTCATGTCATTTCAGCCTCACAGGATCATTCATGCAAGGCAAGTATATACATCTAAGGATTTGTATTAAGGCTGTGCATAACCGTTACTGAGGTACTACAAATGCCATAAATAAGAACAAGAGCAATAACCATGCACTTTGAAGGCATTTGCAGTCTTAAACAAGAACTCAACTATCCCTTTAATATTAGTATCTTGTGTTTTTTCCCCATTTAGGTGTGGGAGTTGTGCTCTGGCCAGCAGCTCTGTAATCTTCTCTTTGACGTTCCTGTAGAGTGCATCACAGCTGATGCTGCTGAGACCTCTATGTTTGCTGGTTGCTCTGACGGTGCCATATATCTTGTCCATCTTTTTCATGAGGTAAGACTTCTATCTAGGGTTCTTGAAAGTGCAATTTCATTGTTACTATAGTTACAGGAAATGTAGTCGCCCCCAAAACCCCAAAGATTAGGGCCTCGTTGCACAACACTTATGCAATGGTCCCAGAGTTCCTTCTTGTTTTTGTTCCCTCCAAATGTAGGAACCCCCCCCCCCCCCTTCTAAGGTCAATGCCCGTATCAATCAACCTCTGGCCCTCATTAAGTCTTACATGTTGGGATTCCTGTTTGCTGGAAATTGTTTGTTTTTATTCCTTCTTGCTTGTGGCTTTGGTATGCTGTTGATATATTGTGACAGATATACATGTACATACATTTGTATTTATATCACCAATTCAAATGTAGGAACCCCCCCCCCCCCCCTTCTAAGGTCAATGCCCGTATCAATCAACCTCTTGCCCTCATTAAGTCTTACATGTTGGGATTCCTGTTTGCTGGAAATTGTTTGTTTTTATTCCTTCTTGCTTGTGGCTTTGGTATGCTGTTGATACATTGTGACAGATATACATGTACATACATTTGTATTTATATCACCAATTCATGAAAGCTTGTTTTTTCCCCTATCATCTTATTTCAGAAATAATTTTTACCAGTTAAAAAAACCAACAAAAAAGAAGAGGAAACATCCTGTTATTGCATTTACTTTAAAATACAAACAAATCTTTAGACTACATATATATTTATTTCATCGATTCATGGAAGCTTGCTTTTTTCCTATCTTTGTTTCAGAAATGATTTTTACCAGGTGAACAAAAATATGCATTTTGTTATTGCATTTACTATTTGTTAAAAATTTCTTTTGACTTCTGTGTGTTAATTTTTCATTATCTATGCCACATCTCAGGGTTCCAGTCAAGAAAGACACATCAGTAAATCAGACCGATCAGCTGTCACCATTTTTCAAGGACACAGGTATGTATGCAAATAAAATGCCTTCTGTTCATCTAATTTTTTAATTTTTTAATTTTTTTTTAGATTGAGAATTTTGTTGTTTGATGGTTAATTTTCATGTAGTTTATTTGCTATTAGATTCTAAGTAACTGGATACATTATTCATTGTAATTGATTTTCCTTTCCTTTTTGGATTCTGCAGCAATATTGGAACCCTATGAAATATGAGTAAACAGTCGAGAGCAAAATCTCAAGAACTTTTCATGACAGAAAGAGATAATCATGAAATGCAGTAATTACCAACATTGTGTTGTTATTTATCTTGGGAATGTGACATATTAAAGGTACTGTGTCCCTTTTGCAGCCAACCTCAAATTCTGTAGAACTTTGCAGGAATAATGAATATGTCATGTATGTCCTATCTGTGAAATTTGAACGTTAGCAGTGTCCTCATATTCAAATTATGCAAGGAAACCCGTTTACTTGCTAGACTTCACTGTCAGACACTATTGAGTGACTGACTGGCTTTTTTCTTCTTTGGTAATAACATACATGAAAAGAGTTGTAAAGGGTACATGAGCATTTGTCTACATCAATAACCCACTTCTTGTGATGGCCAAGATTAAACTGATTGAATCTTTGCGCAGCATAAAACGTATGACCATTCGGTACAATTGTCTGAAAATCAAGACTATTACTTTTGGGCTCTATAGCCCTAAAGTCGATTTGACAACTAATAGTCATTATTTTCCCACTTGAAGACATTTTCAAGCCCCACCTTTTTTAGGGGAGTTCTAAATAAGTATTATCTTTCAAATGCAGTTGGAATATAACTTTTTCATTTTTTTGGCCTGCAAATGGGACATAGTACCTTTAAAGCCTACATATAACAGTCTGTATTCTCTGCTAAGAACTCGGTAAAGGTGTGGGCCTGGACTGGATTCTGGTACGTATATCCAAGTTCCAGGCTGTGTCGTTTCTCCCGGAATACCGAGGATGGTTAGTAGGAAAACGGAAGCTCATGCTTCGCTAGGTGGTAGCAGATTCTGATGAAGAGCTTCACCATCTTGCTGTGAGCTTTCTCATCCGTTGCTATCACAGCCTTGAGGATCGTTTTAGTAGCCTTGGTCTCGGTAGTATTGATTCAAACTTTGTCTCAGATTCTGAAACAAAATCCTGGATTTAGCTCATGCTGCAATGATAATTATAAACCTTTAGGTCAGTCAGGAACCCCCATGACTTTTAAAAGCTGATCGCCCGTATGATTGGAAATCGAATCTAAATTTTGCGTTTGCCTAACGGTTTTCATAACACTACAATCTATTGGGGATAACGAGTATGGTAAGATCGGTCACTCAAAGATTTTTACTTTTTGTAGGCACTTCTTGATCACTTTGAAGCTCGATTTTGTTAGGGCTTCAATATTACACCATATCACAGACACGGATAACACGTAGGGCCGTGTATCTCAGATTTAACAACGTTAAACGGTTAAACGATGCCTTTAAGCTACCATTGTTTTTTTCTGTCCGTAGTTCCTCTGTCACATGTCTTTCTGTCAGTATGGATGGGACCATGCTAGCTTCAGGGAGTACAGATAAAACTGCAAGGATATGGGATGTAGGAAGTGGGCAGTGCCTCAGAGTGATACAACACAAAGGTATGTATTAAAGCATTAACCTTTTCAGGACAGGATTTTTTTATTTTTTTTTTTTTTTTTGGGGGGGGGGGGCGGGGGGCTAAATTGATCGCATTTTGTTCTTAAAATTGGCAACAATAGTATTTTTATTTTATTGCTACATCGGAAAAATTATATGCAACGTCTCCGAAGACAATATACATGGGCAAGAAGGTTGTTGAAAATTTGTAAAAGTGGCCCATTTTGATACAAATGATGATTTTGAATTTCTCAATGTATTGCCAATTCAGGGATTTTAAAGTTTATTTTCCTTTTTAAGATTTGCGGCACCAAATGCAATTTAATCATGAAAAAAAAATGGATGCCGTGTGTTTGCAGTATTTTTTTTGCCTTTTCCACTCGTGCATTTAGCATATTTTTCAGGTCTCTGAATCATAAGTTATTGAGCAAAACCACAAAATGTGGAATGATTGTCATGAAAGTGTCTCACGGATTGTGTCTTTAAATGGAGCATGTACAGGTAATAACTAAATTATTCATAGCCTTACCTGATCTTGTAATTTTTGAAGTTTGTGAACATTTGATTTATCCCGATTTACATTATGTTTTTTGAGAATGCCAGTGACAAATTAAAACTTACATGTATCTTTAAAAGCATTAAACAACAAAGGCCCTAATTCAACCAATCCAGCTTTTATTTGTGAGTTACAAACAAAGACATCACTAAATACATCACATTTACAAGATGAATGAATAATGTATTTGTTAACTGTTGAACTAAAAACATAAATGTTAGTCCACATACTGTATAATGGATTTTCATTATAATCTCTCTGTAATTACGATTAATTTCATAACCTACTCAACTGTTCTTATATTTTAGCATTTATCAATCTCCCTCTCTCCTTATCTCTCTCTCTCTCTCTCCCTCTGTCTCTCCCCCTCTCTTTTCTGTCTCTCTCTCTCTCTGTCTCTCCCCCGCTCTCTCTCCCCCTCTCTCTCTGTCTCTCCCCCTCTCTCTCTCTCTCTCTCTCTCTCCCCCCTCTCTGTCTCTCTCTCTCTCTCCCTCTCCCTCTCTCTATCTCTGTTTCTCTCTCTCTCTCTCTCTCTCTCTCTCTTTCCCTTGATTTTTCCTTGCCCTTGATTTTTCCTTGCCCTGCCATATAGCATCAGTAGGGGCTGTACGGTTTGCCTTGAGACCTCTACCCCCTCCCACCAACGCACCCCCTCCCAAGGCTTTACCCCCTCTCCCTACACTTCAAAGGAATTTCTCTTGGTCCGGGGCAGGTGACGCGATTGTTCAAGGAGGATTCAGGGGTGGTTATGCAGTCAAGATTTCAAGGCCTGTAGAGGTAATTAATTTTTTCTTTCTTTTTCCATTTACATATTAAAGCCCCACTGTACTACTTGTAGCTACTTTTCCCTCTATATAGAAAACTTCCCCAATTGGTGCCTATTGGTCCCCCATGATCCTCTTTTTGTAATGTTAATTGAGAGCTGAGTTGATGAGATGGCCACCTGTCAGTGACCTCGCTGGGTGATATTATCCCTCCTGGCTGAACTAGTACAGACGGCCTTAAAACAAAACAAAAAATTACAAATAAACCTGCAAATTACAATACATATTATAACATCAATGTGAACAGAGTAAATTGATCATCAAAATATTGCATGCTATAAGTAGGGACACTGATTTTCTGTTTCAAAAAATGGCCTTTTCCGTTTCAGAAAATCTTGAATTCCGTTTCAGATGGGCTGAAAAACGGAAATTCCGTTTTGCCATAGACTTTGTACACATGAAAAAACTAAAATTCCGTTTACATAAGATTTTTATTAAAACATGAACTTGTAGGGTACAAAAGTTCTATTAAAGCCGCCACCTTGACAAGCCACTGATAACCACTCAAAAACATACGGACGGGACTGGATAAACTTGATGCAAAATACTAGTGAAAATATAGACCCCTACGGGCCCTAGAGTCTAGGCTAGACCTACGAAAAATTATCAAATGTTTAGATTTACCAACTTCAAATTCGAACTTAGACTAGCAGACTAAAGTCAGCTGAATGTATCAGAACACGACATATTCTTGACGAAAATGCTGAGTAGAACCGACGTCAACGAAAACATTTTCAGTCTTGGCTGTCATGTTCGCGATCGATCGATTTTAGGCACACATGCCAGCCCCTTTTTCGAACTGTACAACTGCGCGTGTACAATCTCGCCGCACGTAGCGCCCGCTACTGGCGTGTGTGTGCCTAGTATTACGTCTACGTAATACTAGGCGCCTAGCTGGCATAATCGGATCGTTTCGTTGCTATTTGTACCGTGTTTTACGTCATGATCCCTTTCGGTCCAGCGAAACAAAATGGCAGCGCCCGGTCTCCTAAGAATCTGACGAATATCGCTAAATATTAGGAATTATTAACCATGATTTGAGGCCCAATATTTTTTAACTGCATAACGAGTCACAAAAATAGTGTAAGTTTTACGATTTTCTTCTTAAAAAATGAAAAGTTTTGGGGTAAAAGGGGTTTTCCGCGATTTTCCGTTCGAAATTGCATTTTCCGTTTCAAATGGTCAATTCCGTGAATTCCGTCCGTTTTCCGTGATCGCGAAAAAATTAGTGTCCCTATATAAGGGGATAACTTGATCAAGAGTTACCCAAGGATAACATAAGAATATAAGAGAGAGGTCGAAGAGATGGAATTTTTTAACCATATGTTCTTTAAAGGTAATACAAAGTTTTGAGAAATTTTGAAAATTGGCTGGATAGCGATTCTTTACAATTTTGATATATTTGGATGCCCTTGTGGATGTATCATAAGCACTAGAAAATGTAGCCCCTAAAACACTTCTGCTTTCAAGAAGAAGTTGAATATTAAAATTTACCTGAAAGACCTGATAAAAACCTGATTTAAATCCCAATTTTTTTTAATTTTTTTTTTCTTTCCTGATTTTTCCCTTATTTTCTGTATTCTTCCCTATTTTTCCCTTTTATTTCCCAATTTTTCTTTCTCAAAAGGGCGGAAATGTTGTTTTTTTCTCCCACGAATACTCTTCTTCTTTTTTTTTTACTCAAGGGGGGCGTGGTTGAGGGGAAGGAAAAAAATTTTTTTTTTTAGTGCTCACTATCACCTCTGACCGGTGCTTTTGATAAATTTCAAATAGCGCTTACGGCCATACAATGGTAGCTGCGACCATATAAATCTCAGAATATGTAGTTGTGATATGTAATTTCCAAACGGGAATAGCCAATCGATCGATTTTAGTCAAGAAACATTGTTTCATGGCTTAATTAATATCTTGACCTTCAGAGGGAGCTATACAACATAAAGAGTTTATTATTTACAATTTCATAACTTTAGACTCGATTTCAACCGCGAAAACAATCACTGAATATTGTAGGATCGCACATGCTTGCAATATGTTAATTTGAACCAAATTCATGACCCCATACCAAAACTTTGAATTACCTTTACCGTGTTCATATTGTTTATGGTGTGAGTATCAATTTTTAAATGGAATTGGAATTAGAATTTTACTGTCTAGATTCCCAAAATTAATGCATTTAAGGAGTTGCTTCATGATTTCAACAAGTACAACATTATCAACAGCAACAACAACAACAACAAATTAATGATACAAGACTTGGCAAGACTTAGCATCAACTCCACATGTTGATACGAGTACCTGATACAAACAGCATATGTTGTCGTTGTTGTTGGTAAATGTTTAATGGCGTTCATTCAGTAATGAATATATATGCCATAAATATTATCTTCAATTTTATAAGAAAATCAGTTATAGTCTTCATAAGAAAACTGAGAATAAAGATTTGTAATGAAATAATTAATTAATAAGTAACGCAATTTATTCAGAGTCTCTGGATGGTTTGCAACTTTGTGTTTCTGCTTTTTTAAAGTTTAATCTGGTCAGCCCGGTTTCGATTGCATGAAAACTAGCTTTGCCCGATTTGAAACAGGCTTCTCGGCTACTCGGCGTGCTTGCGCATTGATCTTTTTATTTTGTAACGCACGGTGCCTAGACCACTCAGAAACACAGAAACACTAAATTGAGACACATCGTACAGAGGCGCTCCTGTAACCGAATTTCCAATCCATTCAAGTAAATTGTTATACAAATCTTATCACAAAGTCATTATCATTATTTGTAAGCAAACATTAAAGTGGGCTTTTTGTTAGTAAAAATAGAACAAATTGAAATATGAACGTCTTTCTTTCATCATATTATATAAGGCCTATATAGGCCTATATATTACATACATACAAACATTATATTTCTTTATTATTTATTCCTCCTTTTATTTTCTTTAGGAGAATCTCCTAAAGAAGCGAGAGTAGAAAGAAGTACTTTGGCTTATTTTACTTTACTTGTAGGTAAACTTATTAATGAGGTCTCTTGTTTTATTTGAAGCGACCTGTTCTATGGATGTATAGTAGGATGGCATATTGAGCCTTCTGTGAAAACTTGAAAAGTATTCTTTTGTTTCTTCTATTGTTTTGGTGTCTAAATCTGAGAAAAGCATCGCTCGTTCGATGATATACTTATTACAATAAAATATAAAATGTTCTTCTGTTTCACTGATGTTACAATAATCACAACATTCTGTTTCACTTAAACCCACTTTAGCCTTTTGTTGATTCAGTTGAAGAACACCCATTCTCAATCTATGTAATATTACTTCACTGTATCTGTTTACCTTGATTGATATACATGAATAATTCTCAAATCGTTTTAGAGGTGATTCTATCGTTTTCCATCTTTCTTCCCCAATTTCTCGTACTCTTTTACTCAGTACATTAAGATCATTGTTAATTTCTATGTTTTTCTTTAATGCTCTCTTTGCAAAACTATCTACTACTTCATTCCCTACTAGTCCACAGTGAGATGGGATCCATTCTAGCGTTATGTTTATACCTCTATAATGAAGATGAGTAATTTTTATCAGTATTTCTACTGCGAAATTTTCTTTTATCTGAGATTCTATTGCATTTAGAGTACTCAGAGAGTCTGAAAGAATAACAATACCAACATAAATATTCAAGTTTTCAATCCAATCTAATGCCATAATAATGGCTACTTGTTCTGCCCTGTATGATGATGTGTCATTGTGTAATCTCTTCTGTTCATGAATTTTCATCGCTGGAACGTAGAAGCCTGCTGCCGCATTGCCTCCCTTAGGGTCTTTAGATCCGTCTGTGTATATATGTAGGAGTGTTTTATATCTAGTGTTTATTACTTCTAAAGATTTGGCTTTTTGATAGTGTGGGTTGTCATTCTTGCTGATTAAAGTATGTAATTCAGTGGAGATGGTGGGTGGTATGTAATGCCATGGTGGAAATGGTATTAGTCTATTTTCTTCAACCTCATCCGATTCTTGAACTATTTTCTCATTTAGAATTCTAAAACCAAAGGGCTTTTTTACTTTTTTTGTTGTTGAGATTTTCATAATGCCAACAGTTGATTGTACATTTTTGGACCGGGTGTTGGGGAGTAGATTTCACTTTAAAATAATATCTATTCGTCAGCATTTTTCTCCTTATGTCTAGTGGTTCTTCTCCTGTTTCTTTAAGCAGGGATTGTAATGAAGTTCCAATAGGGCCACCAGTTATAATTTTTAAAGCCTGATATTGTTCTGAGTTCAACGTATTCTTCACTAAGTTTGAAGCCGAATCATATGCTTCACATCCATAGTCAAACAGTGAACGTATTAATGCTTTATATACAATAAGCATAGAGTGGGAGTCATCTCCCCATGATATACCAGTTATTTTCTTCAATATATTCAATTTTATTTTACATCTTTTTACTATATCCTGAATATGTGGTCTCCAACTTAATTTTTTATCAAACATTAAGCCTAGGAATTTGTGCTCCTGTACAGAAGGTAAGGGTACTCCTTCAAGTTTCAGTTCACATTTTTTATTACTGTTTGTAAATAGAAGCGAAACTGTTTTTTCATTAGATATTGAAATTCCCCAGTATTTAAACCATTCATTTAACCGATTTAAGTATGTTTGTACTTTGTTTTGCACAAACTTTTCATTTTTACCTGATTTCCATATAGCACAGTCATCTGCAAATAATGATATATTCACTTCCTTTTCCAGTGGTATATCATGCATCATAATGTTGAATAAAATTGGACTAAGGGCACTTCCTTGTGGTAATCCATTGACTAGGGTAGATATTTTAGATATTGTCTGTCCATTCCTCACTTGGAAGGTTCTTTTCTGTAGTAAGTTCTGAATAAATGTATACATATTTCCTTTCACTCCTAGTTTGAGTAATTTATATAATGAACCATTGTACCACAACTTATGATATGCCTTGGTTACATCTAAAAAGCAGACTAATGTATGTTCATGATTCCCTAAGCTTTGCTGAATACTATTTTCAAGTAGTATAATATTATCTGTAGAGCTTCTTCCTTTTCTGAATCCGCTCTGTATGCTCGGAAAAATACTTTTATTTTCTAAATACCAATCTAGTCTTCTATAAACCATCTTTTCCAATATCTTTATAAAGATGGGAGTTAATGTTATTGGTCTATACGATGATGGTTTTTGTGGATCTTTACCTGCTTTTAGTATCGGTATCAAGATTCCGTGTTTACACTGTTGGGGGATGTTTCCACTTTCCCAAATCTTATTCATAATTTTTAACATTTTATTTTTAATCTGTACTGGTAACTTCTTGTAGATTTCATATCCAATTTTATCTTTTCCTGGTGCTGTATCTTTTTGATTTTTCAGGACTTGGTTGAATTCTTGCAAAGTAAATGTTTGATTCAAAGACTGATTTCTACGTAGTTCCTGATCATCATTTACATTTTCTTGCAAATGTTCTTTAACTATATTTTCGGCTTGCTTGTTCATTATTGTACTCTCACTAATATTTTCAAAATGATTAGCCATCACATCTACAACCTCTTGAGGATTTATTATTTCTTTCTCTTCATATATTAACGATTTAATATTTTTATTTTTATTATTAGTCTTTTTTTTCTTCTATTTTACGTATCATATTCCAAATATCTGTCATTGATGTGAAACGAGTCATTTCCTTACAATATAATAATAATAATAATAATAACAATAGGTGATCCAATAGTCTCGTTTTGCTTGTCTTTTGATCTTTTGTGCTTCTGCTTTCTTTTTCCAGGTAATCTTCTACATACTCTCCAGTTTTTCTTTTTTCTGCTAAATATCCTAGGTGATTTCTTTCTTTTATACTTTGTGAACATTCCTTGTTCCACCAGGGAACAGGATTTTGTCTTCTTTTTGCTTTCACTTTTCCTAGACGTATCATTATTTTATTCAAAGTTTCTACAAATATAATGTAAGCTTCTTCTACATTATGTTCGTCTATATTTATCATCTCTTCTTCACATGCTTGTTGGAATGTTTCCCAATTAATATTAGCAAGTGACCAATTTATTTCTTCCGGATCAATCTTTGGAAGATTATTTTGATTTCCTATTTCTATCAATATAGGAAAATGATCACTTCCTAAAGTGGTAGATTCTACGCTCCAAGAAATCTTATGGGAAATATTTGGAGATGAAAAGCATAAATCTAATGCTGAACGCTTTGTCGTTCTGTGGTCAATTCGTGTACCTTCCCCAAGATTACAAATCGTAAAATCATGTTTTAACATGTATTTTTCGATAATTTTTCCATTTCCGTCGGTCTTGTCACTACCCCATAAAGTATTACATGTATGTGCGTTAAAGTCTCCTAATATAATTGTTCTTTTAGCTTCTTTTGCATTTTTTGTTATATTATCCAATATCTGTGGTGTAATCTTTTTACATGGGTTATAAAATTCACCACTGTGTATATACATTGATTGAAATATATATTCACCGTTTGGCATTCTATGTCTTCATGTTCTGTAACTTTGCTATGTCCTAACGAATTATGGAAGTATATAGCACATCCACCTCGTATGCCTGTTTTTCTATTTCTATAAACTCCTTCATAATTATTTATATCAAAACGTTCGTTTTCTAATAGCCAAGTTTCTTGCACACAAATTAAAAAAGAATTATTTCTTGTCTATTATTAATGTGAAGTCTCAGTTCGTCTCCGTGACCATTTATGCCCTGCGCATTCCATTGCAGTATATTTAGGGTCACGGAGGCGAACAGACTAAAATACCAGGCCAATAACATTTTGTGCATTTAACATTTCTTTAGTGAGATTGAAAAATTTGAGAGCTGCTCCTACAATCAGGCTTATTGGATTATCTTTCTCTTGATTAAAGTTTGCAAGAATATATACAATAAATGAAATTATTTCTTCATTACTGGCATTGACAATGAAGTTTTTCTCATTTTTACTAACTTCTCCTCCTTCATGAACATACTGCGTGGTTCCAGAATAATCTTTGTGTAAAGTATTTTCTTTCGTATTTCTGTTTTGTTGTCTGCCTTCTTATTGTTTTATTTGTTTGGGATAAGTTTTCATTTTCTTCTCGGATTCTTTTATCTGGGGTGTTTGTTTGTTTATCTGTACCGGAAAGTCTACCGCTTGTCTTTCTTGTGAAAGAGGTGCGTTTTGGATTTGGTTTGTATCCATTGCTTGATCTTGATCATTCATCCAAACTTTGGCAGCTTGAGCATAGCTTACTTTTTGTTCTATTTTGATTCTCTGCACTTCTTTTGCTTTTTGAGCTTCTTGGCATCCCAAATATGCCGCAGAGTGTTCGCCTCCACAATTAATACATTTTGGCGTTTCTTTGTGGGGACATTCGTCGAAGGAGTGCGTCTCCCCACAGCGAACACATCTGGGCTTGGCTTGACATTGTGCTATTCCATGGCCGAAACGTTGGCATTTGAAACATCTGAGAGTAGGTGGAATAAATTGTTTAACCTTAAATAATTGGTAACAAAACGTTATTTTAGAGGGGAGGTTGCTGTGGTCAAATGATAGAATGATATTCCTAGTGGGAATTGGTTCTTTTATTTTGTCTTCTCTTTCTTGAAAACCATTTTCCTTTTTGTCCTTTCTTCTACTCATCATTCTTTTAACCCCTACGACTTTCTGTTTAGTCAGTTCATTTTGAATTTCTCGTTTTGTCATTTCGATGGGGATACCATATATCACTCCTTTCACCCAATTTCTCATCTCTTCCGCCTTCACGGGGATATTTCTGATGTTTTCAATTTCTTTCACACTTCTCAGTTGCTTAGTGTTTTTACACTTTACCATGATTCCATTCCTTACATGTTTGACGAATTCCACTGGATTATTACCCACCACTGCATGTATGGCTTTTGCTATTACTAGGAGATTCAGATTGTTTAGATTTTTGGTTTTGTCTATTTGAACTAGAAAGCATTTTAAGTCAGATGGTTTTGGGGTTGCAAAAGTATGGTTTTCATTATCCGAGTTCGAAGTGTCGTGCATTTTAAGTGTTTCCACTTCTCTACTTTCTTTTCTTCGTCTTTTTGCTGCTTGTTTTTTCCCTGGACTAACAGTCATAAAATCATCTTCCGTTTCGTTGCCTTGCTCCGGAGCGGAGGCCGCCATGGTTGCAGTGACGTGGCGCCACTACAGAAAGGCGGGAATTTCAAAAAGATTTGATAGTTTTTAACAGTATTAGTATAAACAATTTGCCCACAAAATGTCTGCTTACCTTTGTGATTCCTTCTTGCGATGTGGGTGTTCACGATATATTCCAAATAATATGTGGTATAAAGGAGATTTTCTATTGTAAATCCAGATATTTCCTAAGCGTAACAAAATTGATACAAACAGCATAAAAACACCTGGGTGCCTCTTTTATGATTGTGTTTAAATGCTTTTCCTTCAATTTTAATTTTCAGGATACAGATGAGAGGTATGAAGATGAGGTTGGTCTTCCAAGGAGCATCAGGGATGCAAACGCAAAGGTAAATGATATTTCAACTGTTTGGAGTCCAGTTTGTGAAAGTTTTGATGTTAGTTTTGAAGGGGCAAATATTGTAAAAATTTGAATTATCACAACTTTCGGGCCGAAATGGTAAGGGCCGGGGTGGTTCAGCATTTTGGAGGAAAATATTATATTTTTTTAATAGGCTAGTTTCCCCACAATGATTGTACCTACATGCAATTAAATCGATTCTGACCCCCATATCCCTTTGAAAGGGGCGTAGTGGCAAATATTGTAAAAATTTGAATTATCACAACTTTCGGGCCGAAATTGTAAGGGCCGGGGTGGTTCAGCATTTTGAAGGAAAAAATTATGTTTTTTGATTAGGCTAGTTACCCCACAATGAATGTACATACATGCCATTAGATGAATCCTGACCCTCATATCCCTTTGAAAGGGGCGTAGGGGCAAATATTGTGATAATTTGAATAAACACCAATTTCAGGCTGAAATGGTAAGGGCCGGGGTGGTTCAGCATTTTGGAGGAAAATATTATATTTTTTCAATAGGCTAGTTTCCCCACAATGAATGTACATACATGCCATTAGATGAATCCTGACCCCCATATCCCTTTGAAAGGGGCAAAGGGGAAAATATTGTAAAAATTTGAATTATCACAACTTTTGGGCCGAAATTGTAAGGGCCGGGGTGGTTCAGCATTTTGGAGGAAAATATAATTTTTTTTAAATAGGCTAGTTTCCCCACAATGAATGTCCATACATGCCATTAGATGGATCCTGACCCCCATATCCCTTTGAAATGGGCGTAGGGGCAAATATTGTAAAAATTTGAATTATCACAACTTTCGGGCCGAAATTGTAAGGGCCGGGGTGGTTCAGCATTTTGGAGGAAAATATATATTTTTTTTAATAGGCTAGTTTCCCCACAATGAATGTACATACATGCCATTAGATGGATCCTGACCCCCATATCCCTTTGAAAGGGGCGTAGGGGCAAATATTGTGATAATTTGAATAAACACCAATTTCAGGCCGAAATGGTAAGGGCCGATGTGGTTCAGGATTTTGGAGGAAAATATATATTTTTTGATTAGGCTAGTTACCCCACAATGAATGTAGATACATGCCATTAGATGGATCCTGACCCCCATATCCCTTTGAAAGGGGCGAGGGGCAAATATTGTAAAAATTTGAATTATCACAACTTTCGGGCCGAAATTAGAAGGTCCGAGGTGGATCAGCATTTTGGAGGAAAATATATTTTTTTTTTAATAGGTTAGTTTCCCCACAATGAATGTCCATACATGCCATTAGATGGATCTTGACCCCCATATCCCTTTGAAAGGGGCATAGGGCAAATATTGTGATAATTTGAATTATCACAACTTTCGGGCCGAAATTGTAAGGGCCGGGGTGGTTCAGCATTTTGGAGGAAAATATAATTTTTTTTTTAATAGGCTAGTTTCCCCACAATGAATGTACATACATGCCATTAGATGGATCCTGACCCCCATATCCCTTTGAAAGGGGCGTAGGGGCAAATATTGTGATAATTTGAATAAACACCAATTTCAGGCCGAAATGGTAAGGGCCGGGGTGGTTCAGGATTTTGGAGGAAAATATATATTTTTTGATTAGGCTAGTTACATGCCATTAGATGGATCCTGACCCCCATATCCCTTTGAAAGGGGCGTAGGGGCAAATATTGTAAAAATTTGAATTATCACAACTTTCGGGCCGAAATTAGAAGGTCCGAGGTGGATCAGCATTTTGGAGGAAAATATATATTTTTTTTAATAGGTTAGTTTCCCCACAATGAATGTCCATACATGCCATTAGATGGATCTTGACCCCCATATCCCTTTGAAAGGGGCGTAGGGCAAATATTGTGATAATTTGAATTATCACAACTTTCGGGCCGAAATTGTAAGGGCCGGGGTGGTTCAGCATTTTGGAGGAAAATATATTTTTTTTTTAATAGGCTAGTTTCCCCACAATGAATGTCCATACATGCCATTAGATGGATCTTGACCCCCATATCCCTTTGAAAGGGGCATAGGGGCAAATATTGTGATAATTTGAATAAACACCAATTTCAGGCCAAAATGGTAAGGGCCGGGGTGGTTCAGCATTTTGGAGGAAAATATTATATTTTGTGAATAGGCTAGTTTCCCCACAATGAATGTACATACATGCCATTAGGTTTATCCTGACTCCCATATCCCTTTGAAAGGGGCGAAGATGCAAATATTGTAAAAATTTGAATTATCACAACTTTCGGGCCGAAATGGTAAGGGTTCAGCATTTGGGAGGAAAATATTATTTTTTTTGAATAGGTTAGTTTTCCCACAATGAATGTCCATACATGCCATTAGATGGATCCTGACGCCTAATCCCTTTGAAAGGGGCGTAGGGGCAAATATTGTGATAATTTGAATAAACACCAATTTCAGGCCGAAATGGTAAGGGCCGGGGTGGTTCAGCATTTTGGAGGAAAATATTATATTTTTTTAATAGGCTAGTTTCCCCACAATGAATGTACATAAATGCCATTAGATGGATCCTGACCCCCATATTCCTTTGAAAGGGGCGTAGGGGCAAATATTGTAATAATTTGAATTATCACAACTTTCGGGCCGAAATTAGAAGGTCCGGGGTGGTTCAGCATTTTGGAGGAAAATATTATATTTTTTTAATAGGTTAGTTTCCCCACAATGAATGTCCATACGTGCCATTAGATGGATCTTGACCCCCATATCCCTTTGAAAGGGGCGTAGGGCAAATATTGTGATAATTTGAATTATCACAACTTTCGGGCCGAAATTGTAAGGGACGGGTGGTTCAGCATTTTGGAGGAAAATATTTTTTTTTTTAATAGGCTAGTTTCCCCACAATGAATGTACATACATGCCATTAGATGGATCCTGACCTCCATTTCCTTTTGAAAGGGGCGTAGGGGCAAATATTGTAAAAATTTGAATTATCACAACTTTCGGGCCGAAATTAGAAGGTCCGGGGTGGTTCAGCATTTTGGAGGAAAATATAATTTTTTTTGAATAGGTTAGTTTCCCCACAATGAATGTCCATACATGCCATTAGATGGATCTTGACCCCCATATCCCTTTGAAAGGGGCGTAGGGGCAAATATTGTGATAATTTGAATAAACACCAATTTCACGCCGAAATGGTAAGGGCCGGGGTGGTTCAGGATTTTGGAGGAAAATATATATTTTTTTAATAGGCTAGTTTCTCCACAATGAATGTACCTACATGCCATTAGATGGATCTTGAACCCATATCCCTTTGAAAGGGGCATAGGGGCAAATATTGTGATAATTTGAATAAACACCAATTTCAGGTCAAAATGGTAAGGGCCGGGGTGGTTCAGCATTTTGGAGGAAAATATTATATTTTGTGAATAGGCTAGTTTCCCCACAATGAATGTACATACATGCCATTAGGTTGATCCTGACTCCCATATCCCTTTGAAAGGGGCGAAGATGCAAATATTGTAAAAATTTGAATTATCACAACTTTCGGGCCGAAATGGTAAGGGTTCAGCATTTGGGAGGAAAATATAATTTTTTTTGAATAGGTTAGTTTTCCCACAATGAATGTCCATACATGCCATTAGATGGATCCTGACGCCTAATCACTTTGAAAGGGGCGTAGGGGCAAATATTGTGATAATTTGAATAAACACCAATTTCAGGCCGAAATGGTAAGGGCCGGGGTGGTTCAGCATTTTGGAGGAAAATATTATATTTTTTTAATAGGCTAGTTTCCCCACAATGAATGAACATAAATGCCATTAGATGGATCCTGACCCCCATATTCCTTTGAAAGGGGCGTAGGGGCAAATATTGTAATAATTTGAATTATCACAACTTTCGGGCCGAAATTAGAAGGTCCGGGGTGGTTCAGCATTTTGGAGGAAAATATTATATTTTTTTAATAGGTTAGTTTCCCCACAATGAATGTCCATACGTGCCATTAGATGGATCTTGACCCCCATATCCCTTTGAAAGGGGCGTAGGGGCAAATAATGTGATAATTTGAATTATCACAACTTTCGGGCCGAAATTAGAAGGGCCGGGGTGGTTCAGCATTTTGGAGGAAAATATTATTTTTTTGAATAGGTTAGTTTCCCCACAATGAATGTCCATGCATGCCATTAGATGGATCCTGACCCCTAATCCCTTTGAAAGGGGCGTAGGGGCAAATATTGTGATAATTTGAATAAACACCAATTTCAGGCCGAAATGGTAAGGGCCGGGGTGGTTCAGCATTTTGGAGGAAAATATTTTTTTGTTTTAATAGGCTAGTTTCCCCACAATGATTGTACCTACATGTACATGCAATTAAATCGATTCTGACCCCCATATCCCTTTGAAAGGGGCGTAGTGGCAAATATTGTAAAAATTTGAATTATCACAACTTTCGGGCCGAAATTGGCCGGGGTGGTTCAGCATTTTGAAGGAAAAAATTATATTTTTTTAATAGGCTAGTTTCCCCACAATGAATGTACCTACATGCCATTAGATGGATCCTGACCCCCATATCCCTTTGAAAGGGGCGTAGGGGCAAATATTGTAATAATTTGAATTATCACAACTTTCGGGCCGAAATTAGAAGGTCCGGGGTGGTTCAGCATTTTGGAGGAAAATATTATTTTTTTTAATAGGTTAGTTTCCCGACAATGAATGTCCATACATGCCATGAGATGGATCCTGACCCCTAATCCCTTTGAAAGGGGCGTAGGGGCAAATATTGTGATAATTTGAATAAACACCAATTTCAGGCCGAAATGGTAAGGGCCGGGGTGGTTCAGCATTTTGGAGGAAAATATAATTTTTTTTTAAATAGGCTAGTTTCCCCACAATGAATGAAGATACATGCCATTAGATGGATTCTGACCCCCATATCCCTTTGAAAGGGGCGTAGGGGCAAATATTGTGATAATTTGAATAAACACCAATTTCAGGCCGAAATGGTAAGGGCCGGGGTGGTTCAGGATTTTGGAGGAAAATATATATTTTTTTTAATAGGCTAGTTTCCCAACAATGAT